TATCTCTCACCTCCAAATTTTGCTTCACACAAACAAAGCACAGGTTGCTTTGAAGGAGAATCAGTTGCTTTTGTTAATTATTTTATTAATGTTACCAATTCCAAAAGCATCTTTTAGAGTTGCTGTAACTCTAAAAGATGCTTTTGGAATTGGTAACATTAATAGTGGTAGTGGTAGGTAGAGCTAGCAAAGGCAATTGTCTTAGAAGATGCCCACTGCAGCATGAGCAAGAAGCCCTAGAATTTATTCTCATGTGTAGTAAGTTCTGTGATGTCCCCAGGCACACATTTATAGAAGTCTGGGTGGCCCCCAAAATGCAAAGCATGTGAAAGGAGACTGCGCTATCTTCTCAATTTGCACTCCTCTGAGGTGTGGGGTGCCAGTTTTAGGAGTTCTTTATTCAGTGTCCTATTTCCTTTCCTTAGGCTGTCTAAGTGGTCAAGAAGTTTCCATGGGATGCATTCCTCCCTGGCTCATTACTAGTCTTCTACTGTAGACAATAGCATGAGTTGGAAACTGCTTTTGTAAGAATAACTACCAGCCAGGTGTGTGATGGCACAGACCTATAATCCTAGTGACTTAGCAGGCTGAGGCAGAAGGATCACCAAGTTYGAAGTCAGCCTGAGCAGTTTAGTGAGACTCCATCTCAAAACAAAAGGGCCGGGGATATAGCTCAGTGGTAAAACACCCCTGGGTTCAATCCCCAGTACTGCTGGGAAAAACATTTGAAAAGAAAGAAAAAAAAAAGTTAGTATTACATGCTAGGCAATGTGCTAAGTACTTTTACATTTGTTAGCTCATTTAATCAACAAAACATCCCTGTGAATTATTATCTTATTTTAGAGGTCATAAAACTAAAGTTCTAAGAAATCCAACTTACACTTAGCTTGTGCTTTTGTGTGCGTGTGTGTGTGCTTTTATCTACTTGTGTCTGAAGGGGAATCTCTTTCCTAGAAAAACAGTTTGCATCAATAAAAACATTTAAGTGAATTTTATTTATGCAGTTCCATTTTTTCTTGTTCCCCACTATGTTGTACTTATTAATTGTTAGGCATTTTGAAAAAAATGTGAAGGTTTCTAAAGTCTACATAGTTTAAAAAATATAAAATGAAAATCAACATACTGTTTATTTTCTTTTCTTTTCCATGACCCCCAAATCATTTCACTGTCAACCTACAGGAACAATATGCATCCGCTCAGGCTTCTGCTGAGCTTTAATTATGCTATAAAGTGTTTTTTTTTTTTTTTTTTTTTTTTGGTACTGGGGAGTGAACTTAGCCACTGAGCCACATCCTCAGCCCTATTTTGTATTTTATTTAGAGACAGGATCTCACTGAGTTGCTTAATGCCTCACTGTTGCTGAGGCTGGCTTTGAACTTGCAGTCCTCCTGCCTCAGCCTCCTAAGCTACTGGGATTACAGGCAAGCACCACCACAGCTGACTATATATAGTTTTAAAGAGGCTATTTCCAATAGTCTAAAGAATATCAACATTATGATGAGTATAAAACAGATGAAGGGACATTTAGATCAAATAACAAGTAGCTCAAATGCTGATGGAAAGGTAGAGCTTGCTGTCTGAATTTTTACTTGATATTAACTGCAAACAAAAAGAATCCAAGGTAGGCACTTCAAATTGGGCAGTAGGGAGAGGACACTGGAAAGGGAAGTAGGAAAGCATCACAGAAAATGTAAGGTAGGGGCTGGGGATATGGCTCAAGTAGTAGTGCGCTTGCCTGGCATGCGTGAGGCACTGGGTTCTATCCTCAGCACCACATAAAAATAAAATAAAGATATCGTGTCTACCTAAAGCTAAAAAATAAATATTAAAAAAAAAGAAAACGTAAGGTAGCCCATGGCAGGTTCATTATGGAAGCAGCTGCATGAGTCATTCTTCCGCCAAAGGATTTTTATTTCAAAGGGACTTAATGGTAAAGCACTATTAATGCATTAATTCCAGTAATTAAAAAAATAGTATAAACCAAACTACTAGGAATGTGTAATTATAATTTTATGAAAAAAGCCCATAAAATATTAATCTTAAAAACTAGGAATTCTCTTTAAAAATTGCCCTAAATGACTGTGGAAACTTTTTTTTTTTTCTATTTGAGGTCTGCATTACTTGAGTCTTGTCTTACATGAAAAAAATTTTCCTCAAATATTGAAGAGATACCCTGTCAATCTGAAAATATGTGAAAGCACCATGTTTTAAATAAACTTATGATAATTGTTCCCCAAGAATCTTTATCTTCCTTTGCCTTCTTATTTTTCTTGGTTGCTCCCCTCTCTCTTTGTCTCCCTTTCCTTTTCTCCCTCCCTTCCTCCTTCCCCCAAATCTTACAGAACCACTGAGAAGCTAACTTCTATCACCCATAACAAAATGTCCAAGATAATTTCTCACATCTCCACTGGTAGGCTACCAACTTTCACATCCTCTGGTGAATTAGTCTTTTCAGTTTCAACAACATGAAGCTACGTTAATTATAAGTGACTGCAACATACCCTGCAGGGATGGTACCTTTGCCAGACAATGCACATTTAACATTTCATATTTTCAAGGGATGTAAAGTCTGGTTGTTTTTGTCAGAATGAAACCATCCATGATGACTCTTTAGCGTTTTTGTCTATTTTATTGATTTGGTTGTTTTGCCATTTATATCTGTAGCTTGAATTCCCACCCAGTTCCAGGAGGACAAGGGGCCATATGGTCCCTGAGGGTGGCTTTGTGGTCCTCCTGCCTCAGCCTCCCGTGCTACTGGGATTACAAGCATGTGCTTGTCCCTTCAGGGCGCTTGTGACCACTGGGTCTAGGTGCCCCTAGCGCGGGCCCATATGGGCACTTGGGAATAGCGCTGGCGTGCGAGGAGCCTGTTTTGCTTTTGCCCTTGCTCTGGGAATGCTCCTAATGGGAATGGGATGGCAGTGCCCAAGGGCCACTGCTGAGGGAAGTTGAAGGCTTGTTAGAATGAACTCTTAAACCGGCTGAGTGTGAGTGATTTTGGGGTTCKCCTAAAACAACCGAAAATCAACTAGGGTGCTAGCAGCTTGAGAGGGTACCTGGCTAAAAATGTCCAGAAGTGATGGACTTAACCTCTAGGTTCTAGAGCAGTCAAAGGGAACTTAATTAAGTTCATAGAAAATAGCGAATAGGGGAAGAGGAAGCAAATCAAATCATTGACACATGAAAGTTTGGGGGCAGTTCTTTTCAAAACAAGCCAGATTTGCTGGCTTTAAAGATCTCCTCTGGCAGGAAATTGTTTTACTTTTTATTTGTTGGTGGTGCGAGGGATTGAACACAGGACCTTACATATATAAGGCAGGCCATTCCACCACTGAGCTACATTCCCAGGCCCTGGAAAGCTTTTTTTTCTAAATCATCTTTTTAATTTTTCAGAAGACATGGCTATAGTATTATTGTGTATTCTCCTGTAAATGTTATGCTATGCTTACATAGACTGTATTGTACTGGACTTGTTTAGTTATTTTTGTTTTTGCATTCTTTCTTGATTCATTTTTGCAATATATGTTTGGAAGTAAATGATTTATTTCATTTAATGGATTATTTGGGATCTATGGTGAGATCTATATGACCTAAGGGATAGTTTTGCCTGGTCTGGAAATACAATTTTTAGGTTTTATTATTAGCTCAAGCTACATACAATCTGTATAAGGCATGTTGTAACTTTGTGCCAACTCCTTGATTCAAACATGTGCCCTCTGCTTGTTTTTCAGTATGGGGAGGAACTCAGGGCCTTAAGTGAGCTAGGCAAAAACTCTACCACTGAGCTATCTCCTCAGTCCTCACACTTTTTCTAATCATGTCCACTCTTTTAGTGTGTGGTCAAGAGAGGCATAGCCTTTCTCCTCTCCTCAGCCCTTGTTCTTTCTCTGGTTATAAACGAAGAGTCAAATGAATACTCTCCTATTTGTCTGACCTTCAATGTTGCCACATGAAATTCAGAGATTCAAAATTAAAATGTAACATTAGGGTACATAATATCACCAGGAACTGAAAAGAACACAGATAATAAATGGCAAAATACTGTATCAAAAAATGCTAACACAGAAAATTTTTTTCTGTGGAATCTACCAGACTGTTAAAACTGGAGCCTTGTTTTCTTGATTACTCTCCTGATTTTTCTGTTCTCTAGCTAGGCTAAATTTCTTTTTTCGGAGCCTTAGATACAAGACCTAAAACAATTCCATTTGATGAAAACAGTTGGATACGTGTTTGAGCCAAGTTATTTATTTTTAAAAACGTGTTTAGTTGGTCAGAAACACTTGTCCTTTCCTTCAGAAACTCTGATGTATTTTCAGCCTTTCCTCCTAATTTTATGCACCCTTACCAAAAATAATTTTTTTTAACCAGCTTTTGAGTGCCAAAGAATTAATTCGTTCCACAGCAACAAATAACAGCCCAAATAAACACAATCTTATTTTTGAAGGATACAGAGTTGCCTTACTACAGTTTTGTGGCAATGCTGATCTGGAGCATTCTGCTCTTATAGGCCAAGTCCCTGCTTTGGAAATAGTGATTTCYCCCATCCTACTATGAAGGGTGATACCCAAGTGGCAAAGACGCCTCTGCCATTTCACAACTGCCCACCTGGGCGTGTCGCCCTTTTCGAGGCATTGAAATCACCTGCTCAAGGTCGCGCAGCCAATCAGTACTGAATGCAATCAGCAACACACGACAGGGCTGCGCGGTTTACAGCCTGCCGGCGCTGGTCCTGATCCCGGTCACCTGGTGCCCAGCAATTTGCAACCGCTGGAGAAGGCGCCCTCTCCCGACCGACCGCCAGCYGCSGCTGGGCTGGGAACTGACGCCCAGCTCCCCCGGCCGGCACCGTAGATACCGGAAGGAGGCGGGGCAGCTCACSGGCGCGCGCGGGGCGGGGGCCGGAGCGGGGCGCGGCTTATAAAAGCTGCGCGCGGCGGAAAGGGCGGGCCTGGGCACGAGCGGCGGAGTCGGCGGAGAGCCCAGCGCCGCAGACGCCGCGGGCCAGGACTGGGAGGGGAGAGGGAGGAGACAGGAGGAGGAGACGCGAGTGCGGGGTGGCGCCGGTCCACCTCCGCAGCTCGCCTGGCTCCCGCGGGCTTTCGAAGGCGGGCCCGGGCTGCGGCAGCGGCGGCCTTGGTGTCCTGGGGAGGTGAAGCCGGGCTGCGGCGGCCTCGGTCGGCGCGGCGTGGGGAGGTGACCCTCCTGGCGAGGGTGGGCAAGTCCGGGTGGCAGCGACAAGGTGGAGGGGGGCTCGGCATCGCTGGGCGGGGTCCTCGAGGGCAGCGGCTCGTGCCTTTCTCCCCAGGTCGGCCTCCCCAGCGACCTTGCAGAAGTGGCCCCCAAGGGCTGTGGGCAGGGGGAGGGGTCGGTCCCTTCAGGGTGCTTGTGACCACTGGGTCTAGGTGCCCCTAGCGCGGGCCCACGTGGGGTCTTGGGAATAGCGCTGGCGTGCGAGGGGCCTGTTTTGCCCTTGCTTTGGGGATGCTCCTAATGGGAATGGGATGGCAGTGCCCAAGGGCCACTGCTGAGGGAAGTTGAAGGCTTGTTAGAATGAACTCTTAAACCGGCTGAGTGTGAGTGATTTTGGGGTTCGCCTAAAACAACCGAAAATCAACTAGGGTGCTAGCAGCTTKAGAGGGTACCTGGCTAAAAATGTCCAGAAGTGATGGACTTAACCTCTAGGTTCTAGAGCAGTCAAAGGGAACTTAATTAACATTCTTGTTCAAGAAACTGCTGGTTCACTTGGCGAGTGAGTTTTAAGATTTAAATGTCATTCATATAATTGAGGTTGGGGGCTGGGAATGAGAGATCAGATAAAGAGGTTCGAGTGGTTGCTTTAGAGGTCCCAACGTGGAAAGCTTATTTGTGTGTGAATGTGAGAAATCATTTGATCACAGAATTATTCAGAATGGGATATGCCCTTAAGTGGAGAGAGGAGCTTGGAAGCCATTGCTTATGGGTTGTTCTTCTGACCATGTGGAAAATCGAATTTCTGGAGATATCCCCTATATTGTAGATTTTGCCTAGGCCAGTGCTTGTCACTAATTACTTTAAAAATAATGGGATGGACGTCCAGTATCTGAAGCACCATTAGGTTCTGAATTCACTTACGTGGAAGAGAATTTTAAGAAAGTGGGTCTAGACTTCCCTAGGGAAGTTAAAGCCTGGTTTATCCCTCTAGTTTACTTTTATTCTTAACTTCCCCCTCCCCCCTCCTTCAGCTTCATCTGTTTCAATGGTGCAACTCTCTCCATCCCCTTTTGGTTACCAGTCACCTTCAGGCCATTCAGAGGAGGGAAGAGAGGGGAATATGAAGTCAGCCAAGCCCCAAGTGAACCACAATCAGCACGGGGAAAGCCAACGGGCCCTCAGCCCCCTGCAGTCTACTCTCAGTTCTGCTTCATCTCCTTCCCAGGCCTATGAGACCTATATTGATAATGGACTCATATGCCTTAAACACAAAATTAGAAACATCGAGAAAAAGAAGGTAACTTTTTTTCCCCCTCCCAGCCCTCTGTATGCATGATCTTAAATAAAGGTTAAAGAATTGACATTTTCTTTCTCAAGAATCACAGATCTTCCTTCCTGAAGATTTAACTAACCTTGGGATTTAGTCTGAGAACAATTTAAATAAGCAGGCTAAATATTGGATGTATTAAACCTTCTGTTTCTTTTTTCAACACAGCTGAATAACAGTATTCTTCATAGTAAAACTATTATGCATACTGCTCTTGAAATTCTTGAAGAGCTAGTTATTTTGGGGCAGATAMATTTTTTGAGTTACAGAATTAATGTTTCTTTTCAAAGATGAGTAAAAGCCTGCTTTCTTAGCTTGTTTTCCTTGTGACTTTCTGCAGCAGTTGATATTGCAGTATTGCTGCTGCAGTCATTGGAAGCTTTAACCATGGTMGAGCCAAAAAATATTTCAGCACTAATTTTTGTGTTTGCTTGGTGTTGGTTTAAGATTGGTAGGGGAAAGTATTGTGGACAGCCTTGTAAAAARGCCCAGGGGTTATTATCAGCTTAAAGTTATAGTAAATGCTGATGTATCCAAATAATTTTCCATTTCCTGAGTCATGTAGCCTATGAAACGGTACTGAACGTTTCTTTGTTGTGTCATGATTCTCTTCTGATTTAGACGGTAAGGCTGAGTGGGTAACTATCTGGACCTACGTGTTTGTACATACTTTTATGTCAAGATCTAGTTAAACCTTAGGAAGCCTGCTTTGCTTTTTTTTTTTTTTTTTTTTTTTTTCTGTTTTGTGGTCCTGGGGATTGAACCCAGGGCCCCAGACATGCTAGGCAAGTGCTCTATCACTGAGCCATATCCCTAATCCTGGGAAATTTCTTTCAATGCCCAGTTTTAACCAGATTTTAAAAATGTGGTTGACTTTATCTCCCCTCACCCTGTCTTTTCTTTTCACTCTTTCTTTCTTTCAGCTAGGAAGGTAGTAAAGAAGGGCCAGTTGCTAGTATCTTCACCATTTTTCTTTTGAATATATGCATTTGATCACAAGTGTGATAAGGTGAATTTGCCTGGGTCAGCACAAATTCCCTACCACTATGAGAACTAGTCAAAGTGGGACTATTAATGGAGATTCATTAATGGCTTTCCTCAGATAGAGAAACTACATATATGTAAACCTATATTCTCTAGCTTAACTACTATTCCTCTTTAATTTTGAATACCTGGAAGTACCGGTGCTTTCATTTCAAGCTTCTGGGAAAGCATTTTTAGACTCTAAAGCAATATAGGAGGAACCTGAGAAATGCTTGACAAATATACTGGGTTTATGTTATCATTATGGCACTGAAAATGAAATTTATTTTTCATGTATTTCCTTAAATAAAATATCAAGTTTAATATGAAAAATAATAAGTTGTGGCTACTATAACATTAGAAAGAAATTCTTTTACATTTGTGCTTCCTTTAGGAAACTGTCATATAATTCAGCAGGTAATTGAACTAATAAGTTTAAGTATGAGGTTAGAGCAGAACTTGAAACCTTGACACCATTGATATTGATTTGTGCCAGATAATTTTTTGTTGTGAGGGGCTATCCTGAGCATTATGGGTTGTTTAGTGACATTACTGGCCTCTACCAAAAGATACTAGTCCACCTCACTCTTAGCTCCCCAAGTTGTGATAACCCAAACTGTCTCCAGACATTGCCAGATGTCTCTGGAGGACAAAATTGCCCAAATGAACACCATATATGATTGACTAAGGGAAGTCTCTGTGCATTAAGTAGTCAATTATAAATAGAAGTTTTAAGAGGAAAATGCTTTGAGTTGGTGCAGTGGCATGTGCCCTTAGTCCCAACTACTTGGGAAGCTGAAGCAGGAGAATTGTTTGAGGCCCTCCTGGGTAATATAGCAAGACTCCTGTCTCAAAAARCTAGAGAGAAAGGGCTGGAGTTGTGGCTCAGTGCCTAGCATGTGTCAGTCAGGCAGTAAGTTCGGTTCTCAGCACTGCATGTAAATAAATAAAATAAAGATCCATTGATAATTAAAAAWATTTWAAAAAAGCAAGAGAAAAGTATTGTACCTTTTTATTATAATTTTAGAATAATGTTATTCTTTTTGAAAATATTAAATTCCTTCATTTAAAGGTTCTGGAAAATGAATTACTTATAATTAGCATACAGGCTCTAATAATAAATCTCAATTGCTAGACATGTAGACTGGTTAATAGGAGTGAACTTGGGCTAGCATGGAGTGGGCTACATGTGTTTTGCTAATCTGTCACATTTCTTCTCATATGAAAGCTTTGCCCATTACCTCCAATACTTTCATATTCTAATAATCTAGCACTGTAGCATCCTTTTAAATCCCCTTTTTTCAGCCYGGTGTGGTGGGTAATCCCAGTGGCTCAGGAGATTGAGGCTGGAAGATTGCAAGTTCAAAATCAGTCTCAGGAATGGCAAGGCCCTAAGCAACTCAGTGAGACCYTGTCTTCTCTAAATAAAATACAAAATAGGGCTGGGGATGTGGCTCTTGGTTAAGTGCCCCTGGAAGTACTGGGAAAAAAAATCACCCTCCCCTTTTTTTTGCAATTCATTATGCTTCATACATCAAAAACATCTGACATGTTTATAGATGCTCCCTTTGTGTCCAATTTTGGGAAACTTCTGTAGGTTCAGAGCAATTAAGTACTATGAAGACCTTACATTCTTTTATTTCTCTACATTTTGTATTGGTGTATATAGTTGTACATGAAGTATGATTCGTTGTTGCATGTTCATATAGGCAYACAGTGTAACAATATAATTTGGCCAATATCATTCCTCAGTATTTCCCCTTTCTTTTCTAAGACCTTTCATTCTTTTTTTATTTTCTTGTACTGCAGATTGAATTCAGGGGTGCTTAACCACTAAGCTACATCCCCAGCCTGTTTTATTACTTTTTTAAAATTTGAGATAGGGTCTCACTAAATTGCTTAGGGCCTCACTAAGTTGCTGAGGCTGGCTTTGAACTTGTGACACTCCTACCTCAAACTCTAGAGTTGCTAGGATTACAGGCATGTGCCACCGTGCTTGGCAGACTTTATATTCTTAATGGATCTACTGTGGTCCTTCCCCCAAACTGGCCTTATCTGTTTGAAATTTTGTTACTTTTACACTGGGGCACTAAATCACCACAGATTCCATCAGTCACATAGCCAAAAATTTACTTTTGTGGAGCTCCTTCTTCAGAGGTATTCATTCACATAGGGAACTCAACCACCTAACCCACTTCTTCCATTTGTAAAATGAGAGACTACTACCTAACTCAGAGTTGTGAGAACTAAATGAACTTGAAGCAGCTGTCACACTGTCCTGTCACCACWCAGCACTGTTCTACTGCTCTAACTCCTGGGGTGCATAGTTATTACATGTAAGAATGTTTCACCTCAAGAGAGGCACTTTTCTATTGCAACCGTAGAAATAATTAAAATGCCAGCATCAGAATATCCCATTTTCAATGGCTTATACCTGTGGTATTCAAGTTGTATTTGGAGCTGAGGCTGTTCCATCTATGAGATATTGACCTAAAGTCAGCCAACACCAGGGTTTTGTTGCAGCAGTTGGACACAACACAAAAAAGTAGTGGGAAATCTCAGGGCTCAACTCTATGGAACAAAGAGTCTGGCTACACTGAAGCAGTGCAGAGACCAGAGTAATGTTATTCTATGTGCCCGGCCATGACTGGAACTCATTTAATTGCTCTCTGCCTATGGTAAAATGGTATTCTTGAGTATTGATTGCTTACTTCAAGAAACTTTGTTTTCTTGCTTCAGATTTTTTTTTAAATCATATTATAGTAGATACAAATTTCTCTTTTGCAGCTCAAACTGGAAGATTATAAAGATCGTCTGAAAAATGGAGAGCAACTTAATCCAGACCAGTTGGTAAGTGGCTCATGATTCTTTGTCAAAYATACTGGTTTCTTAATAAAATTCTAGGTGGATTTAATGAGACCAGAGGCTTAATAGATCAAAAGGAATTAGTATCTGATGCATATTAGGTTAATAACAAATAATTGTGAATTTCAAAATAGCTAGTAGAGAGGATTTTGAATGTTCTCATCATAAGGAAATGATAARTATTCAAGGTGAAGGACATGCCAATTACCCTGATATGATCATTACACATTGTATATATGTATTGAAATATCATACTCTATCCCACAAACATGTACAGTTACTATGTCAATTAAAGATAAAAAACAAGCCCTGAGTTTAGTTTTTAAAATTTGTAATATTTCATACAGTTCAGAAACCAGGAAATATTTAAAAAGTTGTAGTTTTTCTTTCACCTCATCTTTTCACTGTTCAGTTCTCATGTTACGATATACTCATTGTTAATAGATCGTTATGTTCTTTCAGAATTTCTTTAAATTTATATAAATTTATAAAAAAGATTTATTTTTGCCTCCTATTTTTTAATAGACTTTAGTTTTGAACAATTTTAGGTTTATAGGGAAATTGAGCAGAAAATACAAGTTTCCATGTACCCCCTTGCCTACCCGCAGCCTCTTCCATTATAAATGTCTCTCAGAGAGATGCATTTGTTACATTTTATAAACCTACATTGTCACATTATCATCAAAGTTCATTAGGGTTAATTTTTGGTGTTGCATATTCTTTTTCTTTGTTTGTTTCATTCTTTTTTTCTTTCTTTTTTTTTTGATTGGTGCTGGGGATGGAACCCAGTTTGCATGGTAGGTCAGTGCTCTATCATTGAGGCATTCCCCCAACCCCTTTAGTGTATTCTATGTATTTTGATAAATGCATCTACCGTTAGTGTCATTTAGAATAGTTTCACCATCCTAAATCGTCTCTGTACTGCACTTATTCACTTAATTTTTTTTTTCATTGATTTTATGTGGCAGTAGTGTCTCCATAATACACAGTCTTTAAAGTTTGGTTGAGCTCCTCTGTGAAACTATTTGAACTTTTTTTTTGAGGTGGGAATGGGAGCTCTTTGAAAATACTCTCTATTTTTTTTCCCTTTGAAAATTGATTTTGTTTAGATTTTTTCTTTTGGAAGCAACTTTCAAAACCTTTTTCTTGAAGATCACTTATTTACTTTTTAAAATTTATTTGCATAGATTGGAATGAAGTTGTCCCTTTAATAGAATTTCACTGCCTGCTTCTTTGGTTACTTTCTGTTTATTTTTAATTTTTTGTGTTTCTGTTTCCTCAGTTTCTTCTTCTTTTTCTTTCTTTTTTTTAATCTTGAAATTATTTATTTTAACCTTTAAATATTTCTGCCAAGTAGGGCTTTCTTTCTTTTTTCCCCTCTGTGCAATCCACTTCAGTGCTAGCAGCCTACACAGGCAGACCTCAGTTTATTCTTAATGAAGCTAACTCATAATAGGTGTGTGTTTGTGTGTATGTACATATATATGTCTGCAGAAAAAGTGTGTATATATGTATCTATACGTATCACACACACACATACACACTATATATTCTTTTTTTTCCTTAAGAATAATGTTTGGATTTTTGTTTTAAATTTCACTTTTTGCCTTTTCCTTTTCCCTTTTGATTTGTTTGCTACTTTTTCTAACATAAAAATTTTATTTGTAAAAATTCCTCGAGTGTGATTTTTCTGTCAAGCACTGCTTTAGTGGTGTTAGGTATTGATATTGTATTTTTAATTGTGAGAAAATTTGATAATTTTAGTTTGATTTTCTTCTTTAACCAAACAGACATTGGTAATATTATAAATAAAGCTTTCTTTTGTCTGTATGGCTCTTTTATCCACTTTGAAGTGGCAACTTTTCTTTTTTTTTTTTGTCTGTATTGGGCACTCTACCACTGACCTACATCATCACCACCCCATGTAACCACCAACAGCCCTATTTTATTTTGAGATAGGGTATTTAAGTTACTGAGGCTGGCCTGAACTTGTGATGCTCCTGGCTCAGCTATGGAAATCACTGGGATTGCAGGCATGTGCCACGATGCCTGGCAAAGATAATATCTTAATTGAGTTGATTTTAGAGTCCCATTTAAAACTATATGTTTTAGTTCAGATATAGATTTGAAATGGAGAACCAAGTTACAAGTGAGTTCTTGAGTGATACCTTGGGTTCTACAGAAGTTTTTGCCATTGAAGAATTAGGATTTGGTTTCTCTTACCGCTAAACTCTGATCCTGTGTTGTAGTTAATGCACCTACTGATAAACACATTAAATAATGTGCAATCTTCTGGACACAGTGGTCCATGCCTGTAGTCCCAGTGATTTGGGAGGCGGAGGTGGGAGGATTGCAAGTTTGAGTTCAGCCTGCCTAACTTAGTGAGACTCTGTCTCAAAATAAGGGGAAAAAAAGGGCTAAGGGTATATCTCAGTGGTTAAGTACCCCTGCATTCAATTCCCACTACCACACAAAAAGGAAAAAAAATAATATAGACTCTTCTTTCCTTCATCATTCCTCTTCTGTTGGCCTAATCAAGGTAGGCCACCTGAACTGTCCATTATTTTTCTAACTATTAGCCTTTTCTTGGGACTTTAGTCCTATTGTCTCTTGTGTCCTTGTTGTGAAACAGAAATCTCAGTACAAAATTGATCTCTTTTTTTATACCTCATCCTCGAAAAACTAAAACCTTCCCCTGGTATTTCCAAGCTCATTAAATGGTTTTGCCAGCTATCCAACTGTGAAAGCCTGAAACCAATTTTGGCTCTAACCCCTGATTTTAATGTGCTTATGAGATATCATGGTGTATGTATGTATTTAAAAGTATACGACCTGGAGCATAAAGTTTAGTCTAGAGATTTATCACCTATATGGCTGCTAATAGAACCATAAGAGAAGATGAGACTATCTTGGGCAGGATTATAGAAAGCAGAATAGATACTGAGGACAGAGTCCYGAGGATCTGACATTTCATGTTTGGATAATAGCTTAAGATACAGTGAACTTATTAGGGCTCATGCATCATTTTGTGTGTTTTATAAGTACTAAGTCATTTAAATTCTACAGCATCTATGTGCAGTAGGTCTTATGCCTATCTTAGAGGTACTTGAAACTGAAGTGAGAGAAGTTAATGGAAATATTGTTGGCAAATAAGCAGCTGGTAAATGGGAAAAAATAGAAGTTTATTATATGAGAAGCAAGGTGTTTATAAAGCAGGAGAGTGCCTTTTTGTTGAAGGCTGCTGAGAAATCAATCAAATGAGAATTATAAAAGACCCACACCAGAGCTTTAAAGAATGGGATTGACATCACTGACTTCAATTAGAACTGGTCTAGTGGAATGGTAGAAGCAGAACCCAGGCTGATGAGGTCTGAAAAGGAAATAGAGACCATCAGTTTGGAAATTTGTCCGAGACTGGAAAGAAGTGGTTGCCAGAGAGGAACTTTAAATTTTTCTTATTTGGGGATGTCTTGAATTTTTTTTTTTTTTTTTTTTTTTGTGCTGAGGATTGAACTCAGGGACTTGTGCATGTGAGGCAAGCATTCTACCAACTGAGCTATATCCCCAGCCCATGACTTGGACTTTTTAAATGCTGATTTAAAGCATCAACCGAGAGGGAGAAGCTCTGTTAGAAAACTCTAAAGAGAGAATCACAATATGGATTTCTTTGAAAGTAGAATTAAATATGATCCAAGGCACAGGTGGAAAGAATCTCTTCTACTCTGTAAGGAAAGGACTGGTGTACATTGGGTGATAGGAAGTCAGGTGGCTCAAAGCTAATACCTTTTGGGAATGGATTTGAAGTATTCCTTTCTAGATTTATGTCCCTCTGAGGATTATATGCTATGGTTTTATTATCTGCCCATTCATGTTTCTATAGCTGGGAGGCCACGTTATCTTTTCTATTATGAAACATGGTCCAAACAGAGTGTTGCATCATAGTTATAATGCATAATAAAGCAAGCAGCAGAACCACCTCTCAACTGGAATAGTACATTGTCAGTACTACTGAAGTTCTTACCCAGTATTTTTTCCTCCCTGTAACTGTGATCTTGAAACTCTCTCCCCACTTTTAATTTAACTTTTGTTTATTGCCCTTAAATCTGTGAGAGCTACTTTTTGCACTTATTATAAAGTGCAAATACCACTGATTATACAGTGGTATCACACTATATATTCTATATATATATTCTATATATTTTCCTTTTTCACTCACTATATTTAGTATTTTTCTATTGATGCATGTAACTGTATTTTATATTTTTCTCTTCTTAATAGTAATCTGTAAATAGATGTATTTTAAACAATTCTTTCATCAATCTTATGTATATATGTTATTGAGACATGGGAGAAAGATTTTTTCTAGGGTATATACATATCATTGGGCTGTAAGGTTTGCCCATAGTTAACTTTATGGGTAAAAATGTTAAACTGTCTCCCCAAATTATTGTACCAATTTTTACTAATATTGATGGTACAAGGAGTTATTAGTTTTCTATAACTTCATAGGAACTTAGTATTATCAGACTTTTCCCAACAGMTTATTGAGGCATAAGATAAGTGTCACAAAATAAACTTATTATAATTGCACAATTCAGTGATTTATACTAAATTTGTGGAGTTATGCAATTATCACTACAGTCCAGTTTTAGAATATTTTACCCCCTAAAGTCCTCTTTTGTGTCCTGATTTGTTTCTGTTTCTATAAGCTTCTCTTTTGTGAACATTTCATGTAAAATAAAGTCTTTTGCATTTGGCTTCTTTTACTTAGCCTAATGTTTTTCATGTTTTTCCATGTAATAGTATGTATAGTATAGTATTCCACTATAAGGCTACACACATTTTGTTTATCTGTTTATCAGTTGCTGGATATTTAGATTGTTTTTATTTTGGGCTATTAAGAGTAATTCTGTTATATAGATTCATACATCTTTTTGTGGACATGTTTTCATTTCTTTKGGGCAATATCTAGGGGTTCAATTCTATACTATTTTAATTATTGATAATTTATTTGTCTTTATCTGGTTTGGCAAGTTCTTTAATTTTTTTTTTGTGTTTCAATTGGCCCTTCTTTCATATAGATTCAAGTTAAATTATCATGAATAAAGTCATTCTTTAAAATAAATTGTGTTCATTTGAGAAATCTTAAACTTGCTCCTTTAATTTCCTGTAGGATATTGTTTGCCTATTATTAAATAATTGTTTATATGTATTTTCCACAATATCATAAATGTCTTGAGGTCATTGATTTCTGTGATGCTTACTGTGCTACTGTACATTTGATTGATGAATGAATATTTATAGGGAAATCCTATAGGCTCAGTGCTCTTAAAACCTGCAGGCCTCTCTAACCTTAAACTTCATAGATAGGGTAGAATTAGGGAGTCTGATTTCTAGTATAAAACTTGAATTTCTAGCATTAAAGTAGAATTTTTACATTTAACTTTATATAACTTTATTTAACTTTATAATTTTTACATTTAACTTTATATTGCTTGTTATTTTTCCTTAGGTAAGTATTTTTCAATGTGTATATAGTAAATGGCTAGTTCATGAAATCTTAAATCTCCTCTGCTGTATTTAAGGAACATTTATTTTTACATATTTGTACTTATATGGTCACAGAATTGATGTTTTCTTATCCTGTGTGGTAGGAAGCAGTAGAGAAATATGAAGAAGTGCTACATAATTTGGAATTTGCCAAGGAGCTTCAGAAAACCTTTTCTGGACTAAGTCAAGATGTGAGTATGTCTTTTTTTGCTTTTCCTGAAACCAGTTTAACCACCTTGAAGAAATGTCAGTATCTAATAACAATGTTTGTTTATCATCCTTCTAATTTCTGCTGATATTATATTGGTATTAAAGATTGAGGATAGTTAATACTTTTTTAGATTTCTGGAGTCTCAAGGGAACACAAATAGCACCTGAAATATGGGACACCGTAAATAAAGCATTGGTTATTTAATATTTTATTTCATCGTGGAATCACAGAAATCATTGAGAATAATTTTGACAAGTATATTGAAGATAATTTTTGAACATATGCCTATAAATTTACACAATATAGGTTTGTTAGTTGAACATTATTTAATAAAGGAGGAAATATAGAGTTGGTACTCTTATTGAGCGCATGAAAATTATTATGGAAAATTTGTGATTCGTATTAAGTCTGGCCTTGAAATAGTTAAGTTCTCTATGTTGATAATACAAACTTTTCAAACTTTTATTTTTATTATTATTTTTTGTGGTGCTGGGAATTGAACTCAGGGCCTTGTGTGTGTGAGGAGGTAAGCACTCTACCAACTGAGCTATATCCCCCAAAACTTTTATTTCTGACGTATTTAGTAGTTAATATAAAGTTTTAAGCATTCCTTAATGAAATACTCTTCACTATTTCAGGATTTTAGCATTAGAAGTTCCTTTAAAGGTCATGTTTCAACAATTGAGGAAATTAAAAAAAATTGATTCCATGGGGAGCATGTCTTATAGTCTCTATGTTTTTGATATTTTTCCTTTTTAAAAATTTCTTTACTGTTCCTTTGGCATTAGGGGGAAGAAAGAAAAAGAAAAAGCCTTTGTCATTGTGAGATGAGCTCTGTCCCTGTCAGAGGGATTCATCATTCTAAGTCATGGTTCAGAAAATATGTTGTCATTCACTACTATTGATTTGGAGTGGTTTATTTTATATAAATTCTTCCTTTCCAAATTGGTCTTCAATTGGAAGATAAGAAAAATGTAACCTGATTTTTGAGTTTCCAATAAGAAATATGCTTTCATTGGTTTTTTCATATGACTGCACACTGTCACATGAAGTCAGGTGTGAAATTTTCTGTTTATGGTGTCATGTTGCTGCTCAATAAATTTCAGATTTGGAGCTTTCCGATTTTGGATTTTTGAAAACCCCCAGTTAAAGTATTTTTCTTAAAATATTTGGCCTTAAAAGGCTTGATATACATAATAAGAAAAGGTAAAATCTGGGGCTGGGGTTGTGGCTCAGGGGTAGAAAGCTTGCCTAGTATGTGTGAGGCACTGGGTTCTTAGCACTGAATATAAATAAATGAATAAAATAAAGGTACACTAACATCTAAAAAAATTTATATATATATAAATGTAAAATCTTGAAATAAGTATGGCTATCAGCGATTAGTATTTTAGTTTGTATCATGGTATTTTTAAAGACACCAGGTATATYCTGGAGTTGGAAGTCAGATATTTGGATTCCCTTGTCTCTGGTTACCTGAGACAAACCAGTGAGTTCTTTTTGGTATGGGGTTTGAACCCAGGGGTCTTAATCACTAAGTCATAGCCACATCCTCAGCTCTTCTTATTTGTTTTGAGATAGGGTCTTACTAAGTTGCTTAGGGCCTTACTGAGGCTGGCCTTGAACCTCCTGCCTCAGTTGCTGGGTTTATAGGTGTGGGCCAGCACACCTGGCAGTGAGTTCTTTAACTGGAAAAGGAGATGGCTTAAGCAATAAGATTTATTATCTAATCTCAGCTATTTGGAATTATATCTTGTAATCTTTGAATAGCTAATGTGGGTGGTGGAGAGTTGTCATTCAGCATTTGTTTTAACAGCTACTGAAAGCTCAGAAAAAGGCCCAAAGAAGGGAGCACATGCTAAAACTTGAGGCTGAGAAGAAAAAGCTTCGAACTATACTTCAAGTTCAGTATGTATTGCAGAATCTGACACAGGATCATGTACAAAAAGACTTCATAGGGGGCTTGAATGGTGCAGTGTATTTGCCTTCAAAAGAACTTGACTACCTCATTAAATTTTCAAAACTGACCTGCCCTGAAAGAAACGAAAGTCTGAGGTAAGCTAATGAAAAGTTTTCCCGAAATAAGAGCCCCATAGCACTTTAGTATATATCAACAAAGAAAACATTAATTTGATCAAACATGGAAAACTTTGGCGTTTGATAGATTGTCCAGAAAAAAAAGTTAGTTTGAATGTGTTAATGTGCTTTTTCATTGTAACAATATTTTAAAAATGTCTGATCAAGTTTTAACCCCATACAATTATTAACCATGATACTAATTATAGACAGTTGAAAACTTTTTGTCTTTATCTTCTTATTCCTGCTGTACTTAAATAGAGTAATAAAGTTTAACTTTGTCAGTATCATTAAACTTTAAAAATGAGACTTATTTGACATGTTTTTATCCTGTGAGCAAACACATAGATCTGATAATGTAAGTTTTACAATCAACAAATTTGGGCTAATTTTTTCCTTATAGTTAGCCACTTACTATTTTTGTTTAAATAGAGTAAATCAGTTAATAAATATATCTCTATGCTTTTGCTTTGTTAAATACACGTTATCCCAACTTTGTGTTAGTCAGTCATGTTAAAGGAGAGTCAGATTTAATCTGTTACTAGAAATCAGCCTTATATCATGAAGGTGCCCAATAAAACTCTTAATTACCTGTAGATAGCTATTTATCTTTTTATTCCTATGTTGATAATTTACCCCATCACTACTGTTAGATTGCTTATTGTTACCTTCTCACTTTGGTGGGTCCAGGGAATGTAACATACTTAAGTATGTGAAATGTCAGCAAAATGTAATTTGAAAAATCAGCTGCTGTCTTTAAAGTTAAATGCAGCTTTTATTGACTCCAATTCATTTTTCTTTCATCTATGAAACTTGCTTTATAACTAATGATACCTCGTGGGCAGTCTTAAATTCTTTTGGTCTATTCTTTGATAGTCATATTTGGTAAAATCTTTATTTTTAGTTGATTTAAGAAAAATTTCTTATTTTTGAAATCTGTAAATGGGAATTTTACCCTTTTAAAATTTCACCCTTTATAAAAATTTCACTTTTCATTTCCAATGAGTAAAATGGACAATATTAATATTTGACTGTCTTGACTGTTAATGGATTATACTGCATGAATTGTACTGCTCCACATATATACATATGTGCTTCTAAAGCCACTTTGTTCTGCTGCTGCTTTTCCTTGTCAGTGTTGAAGACCAGATGGAACAGTCATCCTTGTACTTTTGGGACCTTTTGGAAGGTAGTGAGAAAGCAGTGGTAGGAACAACATGTGAGTTTTCTCTACTCTGGACTTATGCAGTAAATACTAAACTTTATGTCTAGAAGTTTAGTATGATATTGAGGGTCTAAGCTGTGTCAGTCCATCAGAACTTACATGTCTGACAATATTATATTCATTGAGAAAATAATCCCTTTGTTCAGTTCTGTTAAAAGCAGCTGTTATGTAGTCTTACTAAAGTGGAACTAAGGGAAAAGTTTGAAGTGGCAAAGCAATGTGATTTGAGAATAAAAGTTAAGTAATAGTGCTTGCTTCAATACTAGCTTGATTATTTTGGGGTTCAGTTCTCTATTCTGAGTGGAAGTACCTGTTCTATTTAAAAATCTTAAAACCTTGACATTAGTAATGCATRGATTTATCTACCAGATTGGCATAAGAAAATATGAACGGTTTGGTTAGTCTGTTGAAGCACTGTTTTTTATTGATTTGAAAATTATCTGGAGAGGGAGTGATTCCTTTTGGCTTTCTAAATATCTATTGGTCAAATGAACAAGCACAAATGGATACGTGTGATGTACATACGTATGTAGTTTTTTTCCCCCCTCAAATCAAGGATATTTAACCACTGAGCTACATCCTCAACCCTTTGTATTTTTTATTTTGAGAAATAAAACAACTCACTAAGTTGCTTAGGGCCTCACTAAGTTGCTAAAGCTGGCTYTGAACTTGCAGTCCTCCTTGAACTTGCCTCTGCATTCCAAGTTGCTGTGGCCACTATACCTGGCAGGACATAGCTTTTTATACTGGCTCAGAATAATGAAAACTTACTGGAAGCTAATAGACATTTTTGTTAATTGCTTAACATTTAAGTTAATTGCTTCCTTTTTTAAAAAAAAATCCAAGTACGTCTAATTATTAAGATTTCTAATTCAAAGTTTAAGTCACAATTAAAAATTTGTTTCTTGAGTGGGGTGTGGTGTCATGCACCTGTATTCCTGGCTACTCATGAGGCTGAGGTAGGAGGAATGCTTCAGCGTGGGAGTTTAAGGCCAACCTGGGCAAAAGTGGGTTGCACTTACTGTATGACCAAACATTGATACTTCTAATACCCAAGATGAATGAAAACCTTATGTTCATATGAGTACTTGTACATAAATGCTTATGCTAGATTTCTTCATAATAATCCCACAGCCTAGATGTTCATCAGCTGATAAATCAATAAACAAAATATCTAGGGGCTGGGGATGTGGCTCAAGTGGTATTGCGCCCGCCTGGCATGCTTGCGGCCTGGGTTCGATCCTCAGCACCACATACAAATAAAGATGTTGTGTCTGCCGAAAACTAAAAAATAAATATTAAAAAAAATGAACAAAATATCTATACAGTGGAATCCACTCAGCAATTTAAAGGGAATGAACTATTCATATGTGAAATATAGATGAATCTCAAAATAATTATGCTTAGTGAATGAAGCCAGACAATAAATGGGTACATATTATATGATTTCACTTTTATGAAATTCTAGGAAAGACATAATTAGATAGGCTGTTGGTTGCTGGAGGTTGGGGAAGGGGAGTAATTGCAAAAGGGGCATAAAGAATTTTTTGGGTTTATGAAAATGCTTTATATCATGGTTCTAAAGGGTGGTAACATGACAATATATTTGGTAAAACTGTACTTAAGATAGGTTAATTTTGTTGTTTGTAAGCTATATCTCAAAGCTGATGAARAAAGAAAAAGACAAAATCTATGTCATAGTTCTTCTATGAAAGGAATAATAGACCCAGATCAAGCATGGGAACTCTGCTTAGTTTGGGAATTATTTTTTTATTGGATATTTAAAATGAAATATTCTTTAGACCTATTTGTAGTGGGCAACTTTATCATATGATTAATGTGATGTGCTACAATATAACTTAGTAAAATCTTAATTATGGAATTTTATATTTTCATTAAGAGATCGTCCAATTATGGTTTTACATTGGTTATTTTTGAGGAACTGTCTTTTATTTCTCCAAAGCCTTAATGGGGAACACAAAGCAGTTGCTAGTTGTGATATCTTGGCGRGCAAATGGACTTGTCTCTCAGTTCAGGGAATGTGTGCATTTGTGACAGTAGAGTCTGATTAGGATCTCTAATTTTAAGTCATTTTTCATTTGGTGGAAATGGAGGCCCAGAGAAACTTTAGTAATTTGCTGAACTTTGAGATTCTAATCTTTAACAATTATATTGATTCAGCATAAAATAGAGATGGGCTGCTTATTACTTTTTATGGAACTAATTCTTTGAGTATCTCTATGTTAACTTTTGTAACAGTACATCAGTACTGTAACTAGGGTAAAATTAGGATTCCTATTCCTCATAATTTTCAATGAACTGTTAGGTTATGTGATAACTAAGTCCTAATTAACTCTTTCTTAGACAAACACATGAAAGATCTACTGTCTAAATTGCTGAACTCAGGTTATTTTGAAAGCATCCCTGTTCCCAAAAATGCTAAGGAAAAAGAAGTATCCTTGGAGGAAGAAATCCTAATACAATCAGAAAAGAAAAATCAATTATTGAAGACTGAATCTATCAGAGAGTCAGGTTTGTTAAAAATCTCTGGGATTGTTTATTGGTTTATATATACATATATATGTATTTTTTTTTTGTGTGTAGTTGGACATAATATCTTTATTTATTTTATGTGGTACTGAGGATCAAACCCAGTGCCTCAAATGTACTAGGTGAGCGCTCTACCACTGAGCCCCAGCCCCAGCCCCTCTTTATTGGTTTCTTAACACTGCATTTAAAAAAAAAATTTTTTTTGAAATGATTTGTCTTATTTTAATTCATTTGATTCTTTATGTATAGAATTCTTTTTTCAAGGTAAGCCTGAGTTTAGAAAACATCTCCAGCCTTTGTTGCCATGATTTATAGAGCAAACCTTAAGAGAAACATTAGGTTATATTTTGTTCCAAGAGAATATATTGGTTTAACCTCTCAGTTAAATTACTAGTAGGATAATTCTGCTTAAAATTGTGCCATAAATATAAGTTATAGTGGAATCTAATACTGAGGTAGAATGAAAATTTAAATAATCTAAAATCAAAATACTGACTTAGGAACAAAATTGCCAAAATTAAGAAAGACAATATACTTCTCAAATTATTTTCCTGAGAAAGAAAGATTTTCAAGAAGAAATTTGCTTTTGTTTGTTGAGGTTGAATTTATTAAAGCCTCTTTCAAGGAGGTAGTCCAGGTAGGGTTCTAGTGCCTACCAGTAAGATTAAAGTTATTTTCAAAGTTTACTTCTCCTTACTTCTAAGACCAGTGCTTCAGTATCTCTCTTTTTTTGCTTCCTTCCTGACCTTAAACTGACTTGGAAGAGGTCTTTAAGGGCTCTTTTTCAAAGCTGAGATGACTAATTTTTACACATAAGACCTGAACTATGATTCCAATTTTAATAAAGCTGTATTTTGGGTAGGAAGAGATAGTATTATTTTCAATCAGAAATAAATTTTTAGCTGAAACTTGACTTTAACAGAATGCTTTTTATAGGAGAGCCACTAGCTTTAGTTAGACACCACCTGCTGCTGTGTTTGTGTGTGTGTATGTGTGTGTGTGTGTGTGTGGTTCAACCCAGGCATTACACATACTAGGCAAGCATTCTACCACTGAGCTACACTCCCAGCCCCTCCACATGCTTTTGACCAGTAAAGCAATAGTTAGAATCATTCGTACAATAAATGTACTTAATTGTACTATTCTTTTTCTATTGTTCTTCTGAAGTCCTCTGAAATATGTTGCTGGAATGAATTACAGTTGTAATGATTTTAAAAACTTAGAATTACTTAGTATTTATTTAATATTCTTATTTAGTATTTATTTAACATTCTTTTATCTTCCCAGAGTCTCTCATGGAACTTGCACAGCCAGAGATACAACCACAGGAGGTAACAGACTGAAAGATCATTGCTGATGCTGTTTTTTCAGACTTTTGTATAGTGTTGTAGTTGTGAGCTAAGGCTCTGGAGCCAGACAGCCTGAGCTTGAATCCTGGCTCTGCGGCTTATTAGCTTAGTGACTTGGGCAAGATTGTTGGCCCAGCTGTGTCCGTTATTCTCATATTTAAAATAAAGATAATAATAATATTTGCCTCATGGGGTTATTGTGAGGATCAAAGGAGTTAAATTACTTAGAATTTGGCCTGACACACAATTAGTGTTGTTAACTGTTATTGATGTTTTTATTCTTATGTTAGAATTTAAAGATGTATGGTATTATGCTCTCTCCAGAATTTACTCACATTGTTAGCAGAAAAGGGTATATTTTTTCCCCTCTTTTAGATGTGACATTGAAATTTGTGGGCCAAAAAGAGTGAGAGAAGAAAACATAGTATAATTGATATATGAAGGAAATAAAAGAAAAGGCTGGTAATACAGGAAATAGAGCTAAGCAGGTTTTCTTATATGAACTATTTAAATTAAGGGAGTCAAGTAGGTAGAAAGTCCTAAGGCTGGCAGAGGTGAAATAGCTTTGGTTAAAGGGCCTAAATCAAACAATTGTGGCACCACAATGGGTAGTTCTTGCCAATCTCTCTCTTTTTTTTTTTTGGTTGTGGATGGACACAGTACCCTCATTTTATTTGTTTATTTTTATGTGGCGATGGGGCTTGAACCCAGTGCCTCATGCATGCTAGGCAAGCGCTCTACCACCAAACCACAACCCTGGCCCTGTTCTTGCCAATCATAAGTGAGTCAAACATAAATAGCTGCTTTTGGAATATCAAAGTTTATATTTCTGTTAATTGAGGAAAAAGGAATGAACAAAGAAGTAGGCCAGTCTTTTTAAGTAAGATAAGGACAGAAATTTCATATCAGCATGATGATTCAGACCAGTGGATATGGGAATACTAGTAGAGTTGAACATTGCTTTCAAGGTCTTGTATAAATTTATGACTCAAGCACATTATTTCTCTGGTTCAGTTTCTTAACAGACGCTATATGACTGAAGTGGATTATTCAGGCAAACAAGATGAAGAGCAATCTTGGGAAGCAGATTATGCTAGGAAACCAAATCTCCCCAAATGTTGGGATATGCTTACTGAACCAGATGGTCAAGAGAAGAAACAGAAATCCTTCAAGTCCTGGGAGTCTCCTATTAAGCCACAGGAGACACCAAAGCCTGCAGTTTCCTTAGATCAGAGGAAACAAGAGATTCCAAAACTCAGGTCAACTTTGCAGGAAGAGCAGAAGCAGCTGGAGATCTCTAAATCCAAACCATCTCCCAGCCAGTGGAAGCAAGAAACTCCTAAGTCTAAAGCAGGATATATTCAAGAGGAGCAGAAGAAGCAGGAGACACCAAAGCCTTGGCCAGTTCAGCTGCATAAAGAACAGGATCCAAAGAAGCAAACTCCAAAGTCCTGGACACCTTCTGTGCAGAGTGACCAGAATGTCAGCAAGTCATGGTCCACTCCCATGTGTGAAGAGCAGGATGCAAAACAGCCAGGGACTCCAAAATCTTGGGAAAGCAATGTTGAGAGTCAAAAACACTCTTTAACACCACAATCTCAGATTTCTCCAAAGAACTGGGGAGTAGCCACAGCAGGCCTCATACCAAATGACCAGCTCCTGCCCAGGAAGTTTAATACAGAATCCAAAGATGTGAGTAGATCTGCATATTGGCTCTGTCAGTGGAGGCATAAGGAATTGTAGTAATGATAATTTCTTTTAAAAACAAACCCCTTGTAATATTAATTGAATACCCTTAACTCTTTAATGAGTTGATCTGTTATTTTTCCTAGGAGTCTAACTGAAGATGAAATTTCTACAATTATAAAATGTTAAGATTTAATGCCAATTTTTTGAACAGGTACAACACATATTTAATGAAAAGATATGAAGTACCTATATTAACATATTATCAAATATATTTCATAGAACCTTAATGAATTAGAAAGTTGTTATTTCTAATTCAAATGTGAGGAAAATAAAACAAATAAAATTAATTGGGTTGTATGAGTCAAAAAATAAGTTACATAATTCAGATTTGAACCTCATTCACAGTGGATTTATAGTATTTCAGTGTGACTGAGCTATCAACACCTCTCTTAGATGAAATTGAGGAATATATTTATTTTAATCCTGAACAATGATTTACTTAGGACAGTTTTATATAAGTAATACATAGTTTGTGACTGAATGTTTAAACTTAATTATGTACTCTAAGGCTCCAGTAGCATCTAACTTCATGTGATATCTGAACAACTTCACATTATGTCTACTATACTTATCGTAAATCTTGTCTTATTTATTTATTAATACAGGTTGATTGCTTTTTATTTGGTCTTTTTTGTGGGGCAGGGTACCAGGTATTGAACCCAGGGGCACTTAACCACCAAGCCATATCCCCGACTCTTTTTTTATGTTTTATTAAAGATGGTCTTGCTGAGTTTCTTAGGGCCTCGATAAATTGCTAAGGCTGGGTTTGAACTCTTGATCCTCTTGCCTCAGCCTACTGAGTCACTGGGATTATAGGTGTAGGCCACTGCATCCAGCTTCTCTTATTTTTTGATACATATTAATGTTGACTTTTTAATGGTACAGTATGACATCAGATAGTGGCTATTTCAGACAAGACCTTAATGTGAATAAGTGAATAATATAAATACTTGTCACAGAATGGGAGACTTGTTACACTGTGTATAGCAATGCTGAACCTTTTCCATGACAGAATAGTGATAATGCGTTGTTTGTTACATGCTTAGTTGGAAAGGTCAGAACTCACATGTGATTTGCTTTAATAGCATAGACAACATTCTAGTGTAGTTTTAGTTTTATTTGTGGAGTTTTCCACTGGGCACATGGGTGATCTTTTCTGATAGAAGTTACATTTTTCTGTATTTTTTCATTTGTAACACTCAGACTAGCCTGAATTTTTATGAAGAAGTGTGAGATACATGATGGTTATAGATATCCTGGTATTTGGGTAACTATTTGAGTTAGGTTTTTTTTTTTTTAGTTGTAGATGGAAACACAATACCTTTATTTTATTTATTTATTTTTATGTGGTGTTGAGGATCGAACCCAGTACCTCACATGTACGAAGCAAGCGCTCTGCCACTGAGCCACAATCCCAGCCCCTATTTGAGTTAGTTTTCTATTTCTGTTTCAAAATAATTTCCAGAGATAAGAAAATATAGGCATTAAATATTTTGTAGTTAAGTTTTGAAAAAAGAAGGCCTCATTCTGTTAATGATAAATAACCTATTTCAGGAAGATGAGGCTAATAATGAATAATCCTTGGATACAGTCCCATGCTAGTGTTGCCTGTTACTAAATTGCTCACTACCGTGGTGAACACAAACGTGTTACGACCTTGCTTTATAAGAAGTGTGAACTTATCCTCCTAGTGTTCTCCGCCTCTGTGTAGTGGTCTTTCTTGTACTTCTGTGCCAATTTAGTCAAGGCTTTCCAGTTAGTCTTTAGCCTTATACCTTAAAACATTTAGCTTGAAAAAAGCCAAGCATTGCATTTTATAAACAGTGAACTACCTCTGCTACCTCTAGCTCGATTCTCTTATGGAAAGAGTTGGGTTACTTATCTTTTGCTCTCCTTTCCTTCTCTTTTCTAGGAGTATTAATATTGATTTTATCTTGTTTTCTATAGAAAATTGGTAGCTGTATTTCATTAACCTGATATTATACAACAGTAATTGTAGTGTCATATCTATTTTGAGAAACATTTAAAAACCTAATTTAATACCTCCAGACAGCTGTTAAAAAAAATGTAATGGGAAATTGGACTAGATATAGCAATGCTGAACCTTTTCCATGACAGAATAGTGATAATGCGTTGTTTGTTACATGCTTAGTTGGAAAGGTCAGAACTCACATGTGATTTGCTTTAATAGCATAGACAACATTCTAGTGTAGTTTTAGTTTTTTTTTTTTTTATTTGTTTGTTTTTAAGTAACTGAGAGGATACTACTCTGTGTAGTGCAGATTTTGTCTGTCTTGTGATTTCAGCTGTCTAGAACATGACTAGGTATAGGCAAGGGCAAAATGAATTCAAAGCCAAAAGACTAGGTAATATGAAATTAATCACTAAAGTTCATATTTTTCTCCTGAAAGAGTTCTTCATTTATTTACTTATAGTCTATTAGCTTATCTGGTACCTTTGACAAGCACTCAGGTGACTTACAAGTTGGGGAAGAGATGCGGATGGAGCCTGTCATCCTAACATTTGTAAGGAGTAATTATAAATTGTAAATTAGGTCTAATTCATAATGTACAGCATTTTTAGCTAATCACCTTTTAAACACCAGTAGCCTCAAAGTAAAAAAAATGTAATAATGTATTTCCTCAGTTCTAGGGTGCCTGTGTTTGTGTATATGTATTTGTATCTTAGTGTTTCTGAAATCAGATATATCTTAAAAATATTTAATGTAATAGTAGTAATTTTTGCCCCAGGGAGAAAAAAAATCATTGGTATTTGTCAGTGGTATCCTTGTTAAGAGTATGTTCAGTGCAGAGAACATACTGATAACTATTGTCAGTAGTGAACATCTCTTAACAAGGAAGTTCTGTTATTCTAGGTCTTCCCTTTAGAAATCGGTTTTTAAAGAAAGATCTCCATTAAAGTTGTCATGAATAAGGGAAGATTATTTAAAGTTTGCTTACATTATTTAGAAAATGCATTTATGTAGAAATTCTTTACTTGTAATAAATCTGATAAATGAACATTGCTGTTTGTTTTAATTTTATTAAGATACAGTGAGATCCTGAATAAGGCTGTTGACTTTGAATTTCTCTTATACGTAGTGGGTTTGTCTTACAGGTGCCTAAGCCCATGCCTCAGCCTGTAGGTTCTTCCTCTGCTCTTCCAAAGGATCCAGTATTGAGGAAAGAAAAACTGCAGGATCTGATGACCCAGATTCAAGGAACTTGTAACTTTATGCAAGTATGAGCCATTTTAAAAAAGAATCTTTGGTGGTATTCATGGGGCAGTTAACTTCTGATCTGAAGAATTACAGGGAAATTGTGGATTCTGCAGTCCAGAATGAATGAGACTCCTGGCTCTGCTATCCCTTAGTTCTGAGGGCAAATTACTTGATTCTCTGCTTTGGTTTCTTTATTTGAAAAATGAAGATAATATTCCCTACTTCCTAAGTTTGTTCTGAGGAAAGAAATGAATTAGACATATAAAAAAAACTTCAAGTACTTATTACCGCTGCAGGTCACCAGTAGTTCCACTCAGGCTGTGAGAACCTGCTCCATGCTTGGTCTTCTGTTGGGTATTGCTGTATATAGAAAATGATAGGACATTTTTTGCCTTTGAGGAGTTTATATTTCCAGCTGTATAAGATTATAAACTTTGCTATATCAATAGTTGAATGCTAAATTATGAGATACAGACTCTTACAGAATTTCATAATAGCATGATATTACTGAGGACTGAGTAGTCAAATAAGATATTTTTGTTTAGCAAAAAGATCTTGAGATTTGCATTTAGACCTGGATTTAAATCTCAGTTCTACCACTTAAGACTTATATAATCCACGCAGGTTATTTAACTTCCAAACCTCTACTTATTTACAAAATTAAGGAATGGATTACCTCTGTGGATTATTTGAAAATAAAAAAACTAAAATGCTTACTACAAGTATGTAGTTTAAGTATGCAAAATATGGGGAAATTTCTCTGAGATAACCAAGATATGTAGTGTAGGTAGGAAATGAGAATGGTTCTCATCACTAAATTGTTTAACAACATGAGCTAGTAGGAGGTTGCGGTAAAATAATTAGACCCTCTCTAATTTGGGAATAATAAAAATGGAGGTACAGACTAGATTAGGATTGATGCTTATGCTTAAAAAAGAGGAGTGTCTTTCCCAAGTTAGGCCTTGTAATTGCTATCATAGTTTTCAACATTTGGCAGTTACATTAGAGTTGATTTTTGACTCTTAATTTCTTTTATATGCTGAATTTTGAACATCTTGAGATGTTAATTAGCTAGATACCTTTAGCTTTAGCTAATAAGCTGTGGGCAATACCATGAATAATTTAATGGTAATATCTTTTAAATTAATGATCTTTGTTTCCTATGCATTATTTAAAATCCCTTATCTTCAGGAGTCTGTTCTGGATTTTGACAAACCTTCAAGTGCAATTCCATCATCACAGCCGCCTTCAGCTTCTCCAGGTAGCCCTGTAGGTATGTAATCTTTCTAAAGACTCAGAACAAGGGCTTGGGTTGTGGCTCACCRGTAGAGTGCTTGCCTCGCACATGTAAGACCCTGGGTTCGATCCTCAGCACCACATAAAAATAAATAAATAAAGATATTGTGTCTGTGTATAACTAAAAAAACACCACCACCACCAACAACAACAACAAAAAACTCGGAACAAACAGCTTTAGAGCTCACAGTTATATCTCTTTACAAATCATTTGCTCTAGATAGCATAAGGGTTAAATTGAAATATGTCTCTGTAATAATTTATTCTAATTGTATCCTCTGCCATCAGAGTTATATAAGGATAAATTACCATTAGTACATTACTGTGCTTACCTGACCTGTTTGCATTTTGGGAGAAAGTTTTCAGATGGGTGAATGGAAATGCCCAATAGCTGGATTTTTTGGCGATATCTTATGTTCTTCTTGGAGTCACTGCTTGACTCTTTTGGACTCCAAATCTGGAGTTGGTACTTTTGGATCCTAACTATGAGATCATCTGAGAGATGTTTAGAACAGTGACTAACACAGTAACTAATGATACACCCCAAATGTAAATCTGGTCTGCTGCTTTAATAGGTAGCCTTTTTGGTTCAGATTAGGTTCTGTCAGGTGAGAGGAGAACACATCAAAGCCATATTCCTGCTGCAGTGGGCACTAGACACCAGCTCAAGACAGGGGCAGCAATTCCAGGGTGAAGTAATAAATCAGTAGAAAGTAATTAACAAATGTGATGGACGTTAACAAGAAACCAAAATGAAAACTACATGTTTGAAAAGCATATTATTATAACCAGCAAGAAAAATACCTGAACATACGACCCAGCTAAGACTTATTTTGAAACCTGTGAAACTTGTGTTTTATTGGTTGTTTTTTAAAGTCTTAGTTCTTTTCTTTAGAAGCCTTGAAATGCTTATAACCCTTTAACCTTAAAATATCACCATGAAAAAGTATCACAGATGAAATTAGTATTTTCAGCTCTTCCCCACCTTCTCTGATTTTTTTTTTTTTTGCAAGTGGGGATGGAACCCAGGAGTTCTCGCCACTGATATACAACACACACTCCCAGCCCCTTTTATTTTTATTTTTGGGCAGGGTCTTGATAATTCGTTCAGGCTGGTCTTGAACTTGTGATGCTCTTGTTTTAGCCTTCTGAGTAGCTGGAATACCAAGCATGTGTCACTGTGCCCAGTTTCTCTGGCTCTTTTTAAAGTACTAATGAAGAATGCATGATGGACTTAATACCTAGTTCTTCCACCTAATGATTTTGCTGTAAAGTGTAAACTTTAGTTTCTTTCCAATTGCTATGCAGTAACTTTTCTCTCCTCCTCAATAATGGTTTATTTTACTCTCTGCAGTATCTACAGAACAAACTCTTTCCAGTCAAAGTGATTTTCTTCAAGAGCCATTACAGGTAATATCCTCAGATTACTCTTTTTTATTATTCAGGGACGGACCTCTTGCTTTGGCAAGAAAGACCAGACTTATTAAGATACCTAACTAAATTGTTTAAAGTAGGGCTGGGGTTGTAGCTCAGTGGTAGAGCACTTGCCTAAATTGTTAAAAGTGTTTTAAGACTATCTAGTTTTTTTTAGATTAAGCATACTGGTTCTAAAAAGATTCTCTGACTATGCTGAAAACATCTATTATAGTAGAGACGGTTGACTGATTTTGGTGAGTAAAGAACAACCYTGAAGAATTCAGGGGTACCTTGTCTAAGAATATTGCTTTTCTATTGAGCTATGCAAGTTACAGTTCATTAGCATAGTAAAGGGTCTAAAGAAAGAAACTAATTTTGTTTAGTCCATGGTTAACCAGTCCCTCCCCCACAGCCCATAATAGTTCATTCTTCTCATTTTCACTGAGTACACTTAGAAGCACAAAGGAATTAGATTTTGAGATCCCCAATGTCAAGTTGCATTTCCATCAAAGGTAAGCCCAAACTTCACTGGCCATTATTTTTGAAAACGTTTTCTAACTGTTTCTGTGAAAGCCTTATGGCAATTTTCTTGACAGTAGCTCTTTTGACAGTAAGTTAAATATTTTGACTGGTTGGTTCAGCAGTTGTGATCTTCCCTTCTGAAACCCTCTGAGTAAATACCATTTGTTTATGGTGGTTTATATATAATTTGAAAAGGTGTGGCTTAGTTTTTGGGGTTGGGGTACGGGGGACTTAACCCATTGCCTTGTGCATGCTAGGCAAGCACTCTACCACTGGACTACATCTTGAGTCCTCAGTTTTTAAATTGTATTTGTTAAGCAAGGTATATCAGGGGGGTTTTGCCCTATCTTTTCCACTTATGCTTTTACTAAAGTGGTTTTGTTTATCTTATCTAGCTGTTAGAATTCTACAAAAGGCCTTCATTTGTCAAGTTAAATTCTTTTTGAATAACTACTGGTCTGTGTAGAAGTTCTCAGGTACAGGCTGACAGGATAGCTACATCAGAATTTCTGGTCACTCTAATAAAAATATGTATTTCTAGGTATAACTTTAAACCTGCTGGAGCATCATTTCCAGGGTTGCTACCTAAGCATTCATTTATTTATTTTTTATTAAAGAATTTTTTTTTATTGTACTGGGAATTGAACCCAGGGGTGCTTTACCACTGATCCATACCCTCCCCCCAATCCTTTTTTTTTTTTTTTTTAAATTTTGAGTTAGTTTCTTGCTGAGTTGCCAAGACTGGCCTTGAACTTGGAATACTCCTGTCTCAGTCTCCCAAGTAGTTGGGATTATAGGCACATGTAAATACTGGCTAAGTATTTATCTTTTGAATATAACTCCCTGGTGAATCTGCATATCTGTATTTGGAACCACTCATCTCAAACATCATGTTTACTCACCAATATGTAATCTTCCAGCTGGTTCACTTTTTAAAGAGTGGTAATTTGGAACAAGAGCTGCTAACATGAATACAAGTGTAAAGAATATGTCTTTGCTGGGCTTGGTGGTACACACCTATAATCCCAGCTACTTGGGAGGCTGAGGCAAGAGGGTCACAAGTCTGAGGCCAGCCTCAGCAATCTAACAAGACCCTGTCTGAAAATTTAAAGAATTAAAGGAAAGGGCTAGGATGTAGTTCAGTGTTAAGCACTGCTGGGTTCAATTCATAGTACTAGGGGAAAAAACATGTGTCTGTCTTTTTTGTTGTTAAGTAAACTTTTTTCCCCCCTTAAATCTCTTATGGTGCTAGGATTTGAACCCATTGGCACCCCACAATGGAGCTGTATCTCCATGTCTTGCTAAGTTTAATTTGCCACGGCTGGCCTTAAATTTTTGATCCTTCTGCTTAGCTTCCCTAATCACTAGGATTATAAATATGTGCCATCATGCCTGGCTTCAAGTCTTTTAAAGTTTAACTATCAGGTGGTCCAAGAAGCTTTAATACTTAGCATCTGTGAAACCCTTTTGTTGAGAGAGTTATGTCCTCACAACAGCCAGTTCTATTTATTTTTTTTGCAGTTGTCTCATTATTTTAATAAGAAGCACAGAAAAAAAGTCAGTTTTTAAAAAATATGTATAAAGTGTTTTATTTAGTACCTCTGTTTTTAACATACTTTGTGCACTTCTAAACATCTAAAATGATCAGATGTTTCAAATAAGGACTTAACGTTTGTAGATTTTATGCACAGTAGTGCTGAATAAACTACACACATCCAGCAGTGGTTGTATCTAAATGTGTCTTCTAAATAGGAACATTCTGGCCTAGAATACTTCATTTCTTCCAGTTTCTTCTCTGCTATGGGTAACATAGATATGATGTCCTTTCAGAAGTCCTTTCAGAAGACAGAAGAAAGGCATAGTTTTAAAAGTGTTCAATCTCGTATTCTAATATTTTAGTTGGATATAAATTATGCCTGTTTAACTTTAGAAAATGTTGTACACGATTAAAAAATTATTTCCATGTGATCTTTTTAAAAACTGGTCCCACACTCTTAAAGGAGCAGCATATCATGAAGGCCCCTTTGGAGGGTTGCAGCAGCATAACTTCTAATGTTTGGTTACCCCTCGTTAGTTTCCATTCATGTGTTTTATTACTTGAGTTTCTGAGAACCACATAGAAGCATTTAGATAAAATTATTGAATTTGTGGATGCTTTAGACCTTGCTTGCTAGATTTTGGGAAGTATCTCTGATATATTCTAATAATTGCTGTGCCATAGATTTCCTTCCTAGCTACTCTCATAGTATTTTATTGGTTACAATTGGTGCAGCCTTAGTTCCTGCTGTGCTATCTCACAATTTTTATTTTATTCATGCTTTTAATTTAGTTTTGCACTAGAATTTTAGTGTTATTTTGATTTATGTGGAGTTTATCCCATTTATACTTCCAACTTCCTCTTTAATACAGAAAGTACTTATAGAATAAAAGCCTAGTTTTGATGATCCCTGACAGTGCTGTGGCTGAAGAGTTCATGTGCCCGAGCTTACCCTCAGTGAGCTGCTTTTTGAGACACTCAGTCTAGCCCTAGGCCTGGAGTTTGAATCTTAACCCTGCCACATAATTTTTGTGTTATTTGGGAAAATCACTGCACTTTTCTTTGTCTCTGCCTGATTATCAATAGAAAGGGGATAGTTGTACGTATTTTACAGGGTTATTATTAATATTAAATACTAATATGTGTGATGGGCTTACCATAATGCTTAACACTAGTGAGGGCTAGTAAGAGGAACATATTAGGAGACCTAGGGCCCAGGAAACAGAAAGTGAGCAAAATATGACTTTTTTATAGTATTTTATGTCTTCTTGTGTCTAGGCTACTGCTTCTCCAGTTACTTGTAGCTCAAATGCTTGCTTGGTTACTGCTGATCAGGCTTCAACGGGATCTGAAACAGAATTTGTGACTACAGAGACTCCTGAGGTAATAAAAGGCTAATGGTCTTAATTTCTTTTCTTCCTAAAAGAATAGCAGAACTAGTTTATTTTATGAATTACAGGAATGATTAGTTGAATGATGTAATGTTTAATTTATTAAGGTATAACTTTATAGATGTTGTGGTCCTAGAACTTTTCTAGGTAACTTTACAGTGGCTTTGCCGTATAGGTAAATTTAATAGTATATTGCCTTATCTTTTGCAATAAATATTTAATTTTTCATATAGAAAAGTAAAAAATTTTAGGTAAGAGTAGGCCAGATTTTCCTAAGGAAAACCTGGACAAGTTTTTATTTTTTCATGACTGAAGACAATCATTTTTAGGATTAAGATTAATGCTAGCCCAGTGTGGCAGTTCTCACCTGTAATCCCAGTGGCTCAGGAGGCTGAGTCAGGAGAATCGAGAGTTCAAAGCCAGCCTCAGCAATGGCAAGGCGCTTTGCAACTCAGTGAGACCCTGTTTCTAAATAAAATACAAAAGTAGGATGTGGATGTGGCTCAGTGGTTGAGTGTCCCTGAGTTCAATCCCTAGTACCAAAAAAAAAAAAAAAAGAATGCTAATTCAAAAGCTGGGTATGGTAGTTCATGCCGGGAATCTCTGTGGCTCAGAAGGCTGAGGCAGGAGGTTTACAAGTTTAAAGCTAGCCTTAGTAGCTTAGTGAGGTCCTAAGCAACTTCATAAGATCCTGTCCAAAATAAAAAAGTTAAAAGGGGTTGGGGATGTGGCTCAGTGGTTAAATGCCCCTGCGTTTAATCTCTGGAACAAAACCAAACAAAACTGATTAATGTTAGTTCAGTTGTGAGTTACTCTTTTGGCTTATTTGACAATATTAGGTTTTTTTGTGCTTTCAGTTTTTTTTTTTTTTTTTTTTTTTTTTTTTTTGTGTGTGTGTGTGTGCCAGGAATTGAACCCAGAGGTGCTTAACCACTGAGCAACATTTCTAGTTTTTTTTTTTTTTTTTTTTCCTGGTATGGGGATTGAACTCAGAGTTGAACTCAGGAGCACTTGACCACTGAGCCACATCCCCAGCCTTGTTTTGTGATTTGTTTAGAAATAGGGTCTCACTGAGTTGCTTAGTGCCTCACTTTCACTGAGGCCTTGAACTTGCAATCCTCCTGTCTCAGCCTCCCCAGCTGCTAGGATTACAGGTGTGCACCAATAGCTACCACACCCTGCACCAGCACTTTTTTATATTTTATTTAGAGACAGGGTCCTGCTTAGGGCCTTGCTAAGTTGTTGAGTCTGGCTTTGAACTCATGAACCTCCTGCTCAGCCTCTCGAGCTGCTGGGATTACAAACTGTTCTGAGTTATAGATTTTGATGTTTGAGCAAATCTTTGAGACAGACATAGCAGGATAAAATGAATTTTGAAGGACAATTTAACAAATATTAGTTTTATTTTGGGTGTGCTATTATATAGAAATATTCATTATACAATACAAGAAAACAGAGGGGCTGAGGTTGTGGATCAGTGGTAGAGCTCTTGCCTGGCATGTGTGAAGCACTGGGTTTGATTCTGAGCACCACATACAAATAAAAAAAATAAAGGTCCATTGACAACTTAAAAAAAAAAAACCCACAAACAATCATTAGTTTTTAGTTTTTTCAAAATATTTATTTTTTTAGTTGTAGTTGAAAAAAACCCCTTTATTTATTTTTTTATGTGGTGCTGAGGATTGAACCCAGGGTCTTGCACGTGCTAGGTGAACACTCTACCACTGAGCCACAACCCTGGCCCCACAATCATTAGTTTTTATGGCACTACCTTGGTCTAAATTGAGATTTGGTTCTTCATTTAAAAAAGATGGGGGAAGAAGCTGGGTGTGGTGGCAGATGCCTGTAATTTCAGTTGCTCAGGAGGCTGAGGCAGGAGGATCACAAGTTTCAGGCCAGCCTTAGCAATTTAGTGAGGTCTTGTCTCAAAATAAAAAAATAAAAAGGGCTGGGGGTGTGGCTCAATGGTTAAGAACCTCTGGGTTCGATTTCCAGTACTCAAAAAAAAAAAGAAAAAATAGTGGCAAATCAGTTGAATGTGGTGGTAGTGCACACCTGTAATCTCAACTACTTGGGAACTTGAGGCAGGAAGACCTCAAATTCAAGGCCAGCCTTGGCAACTTAGCGAAACCCTACCTTAAAATAAAATACTAAAAGGACTGGGGATGTAGCTAAGTAGTAAAGAATCCTTGGTTTCAATCTCCAATATTGAAAAAAAAGTAGATAGTGATTTTTACCAAGTGACCCCAGGTATCTGCTTCATAACTAATTGGAATTGGGTTTTACTATCTATTTTTTTAAATATATATTTTTAAGTTGTTGATAGACCTTTATTTATTTATATGTGGTGCTGAAAATTGAACCTAGTGCTTCACACATGTCAGGCAAGTGTGCTATTGCTGAGCCCCAGCCTCAGCCTGGTTTTACTATCTTTTTAGAAGTCTTTGTCTTCATAGTCTGTTATGTCAAGAACTAATTGTTTCCTTAAAAATTAATTAAAATAGGTCAGGATTGGTTTTCTTTTTTTAGTTAACTGATTCAGAAATCCACTAATAAGTCTTTAAAACAGAGAAAAATTAACACTAAAGAAGTAACCAAGATTTTTCTTAAGCTCAATTCCACCGTATAAATTTGGAATAACATTAGATTCTTAACTGGAAAATGGTATTTCAGGGTTCAGAAATGATTAGATGCTTGTAAAAAGGTCAGCCCCTCTTTTGTTAGACTGATTATCAGTAAGACTCTTTGACTTAGTCAGCAGGCTGTGCAAAGCAAATACTAGTGTGCATCCTCAGCAATTGAGATTTGAAATTGTAAGCAAAAGCTATTCTTTTGCATTCCTGTGTCCAAATGTCATCCTAAAGAACTTGCTGACTTGCGCCAGTTTGGGGTTTAGTGTAAGTGAACTGCTTGTTATATGGCAGGTGTTTGGCTGATGCTGCATTTCTTCCCTCCAGGCAGCAGTTCCCCCAAGCAAGCCACCGTCTTCACTAGCTGCTCCAAATCCTTCCATGGCAAAGGGTTCTGAACAGGGTTTCCAGTCACCTCCAGCAAGTACTAGTTCAATAACCATTAACACAGCACCCTTTCAAGCCATGCAGACAGTGAGTATGAACCGGGAATGATGATCACAGTTCATTATTCATTATTCTGCCTAAGAGTCTTTGTTTCTCTTACATCTATTATTAGTGCTATGTGAAAAGTTTGCCTTTTGTATTCTTATTTGGGTGGTTAGAATTTACATTTGTCTAGTTGACATACTGTTTTTGACAGAGGAGTATTAAATCCCCAGTCCCTAGAATTTTGAATTGGTCTTTTATCAGAGCATTGTTCCCACTCTGAAAACTAGCAGGCAAAACTGAAGGCCTATATCAGACAAATAAAATATGTGATTGATTCAGTACCCTGCACAACAAAAAAGAAGAAAATGTGTAGGTGAAAAACATCTGTTTCTAGGAACAGCTTAATAATACTAATCATTACTAAAAGGGTACTAGCGATGTTCCTAGCATTAGTAACCGGAAATTCAGGGCACAGACTTGCTTAGCACCTCACTTCATTATTGAAGATTTCATTTGGTTTCATCCTGGTCTCATGCTTATTCATAGAGATTTATTCAGATTTGTTTGGTGTTCTGAATTATGTATTTCTTTACAAATTATAGTTTTAAACTCTATTTATTTATCATGCTGGGGATTGAACCCAGGGTCACTCTACAACTGAGCTACATCCCCAACCCTTTCTTATTTTTTTGAGACAGGTTCTTGCTAAGTTGTCGAGGCTGACCTCAAACTTGTGATCCTCCTTCCTTAACCTCCTGATTTGTTGGGATTATGAGTGTGTGCTACCATGCCTGGCTTAAAACTTTTTCTCTCTTTTTTTAATGATAATATTGCAGCTAGATTTCTACATTTATTCTCTAAACACAGTAGCATGAAACAGTCTGTAGGGCTGTTAGTGAGCCTAATTGGCTCAATGTCCCACTCCAGCTCCTTTGGAGTGATGATGGTGTGTGTGTGGGGGGCCCTTGGAGTGGCAATGGGAAGCAGGCACAATGTAGGAATAGGCTGGTGAAGTTCGACACCTGAATTCACCAATCTTATCACTCTGTGCTTAATCAATTAGAATATCTTAGTTTCCTTGCTTTTCCTCTTTCCCTGTCAGTCCATCCTATACAGTTTTGCCACATTGGGTTTACTTTTTCTTTTGCCTAATTGAAAGCAAGCAGTGGTCCATTACAGAATGAAATTGAGTCCTTTGCCTGACACTCAGTACCTTTGTAGTCTTGTATAACTTGTCAAACCAGTCCCCTAATGGGCTTGGCTTGCACATTGTTGGCACAGTACCTATTTGCTCATGCCTCTGTCTGTGTTCTGCCTGTTTTGAAGCCTTTCAAGTTCAGATCAGTTCTCATTTATTCATTCATTAGACATGTAGTTATGAAGCCAGATCAAAATCACTGGGATTATAGCAATTAAAAATAGGTCTTTGCTCAAGAAGTTTGCATTTTTATTATTGCAAATTAAATAATAATTTATTATTACTATTACTAGAAATGGGAGTTTTAGAAAGACAAATATATATATTATCAGATGCCATGTAATGTAAGGAAAATGGAGCAAGGTAAGAAAGCCAAGGTAATACAAATGTTCTTTTGTAAATTATGACCAGGTTCTGGAAGGTTATTGCCTGCCACATAGTAAAAATTCAGGAAGTGATAAATTATTTTAGTTTTTTAAAAAGGATCCTTTTCTTCTATATAACTTTTATTCTCAATAAGCCTTATTATGATAGCTTAATAGAGGTTTGACATTTACTCTTTGGTGTCAGTTCTGTCTGGAATCAAATGGAATTTAATTTACCATTATAATAATTTTAAAGTGTGTAATTCAGTGGCATTAAATACATTCATTTTGTGTGTAACCCTCACTACTATTTTCAAAACTTTTTTCATGATCCCAAACAGAAACATTGTACTCATTAAGTAGTAAGTTGTTATTCCTCCCCTTCCCCAGCCTGTGGTAACCTCTGTTCCATGTTCTATATCAATAAATTTACCTATTCTAGGTACCTCACATAAGTGAAATCATGCAATACTTGTTCTTTTGTATCTGGCTTCTTTCACTTAGCATAATGCTTCAAGGTTCATGCATCAGATTCTCATTCCTTCCTCTGGCTAAAGAACATTTCATTTTATGTATATATCTTGTTTATTCATTCGTCTGTTGGCGGGCTCTTGGGTTGTTTCTACCTTTTGTCAGTTATGAATAATGTTGCTAAATACACAGGTCTACAAATATCTATTCCAGTCCATGCTTTAGTTATTTTGGGTGCATACCTAGAAGTGAAGTTGGTGGATCATATGGTAGATTATGTTTCACTTTTTGAGGAACCATTGTACTGTTTTTCATGACTGCATCGTTTTACATTCCCACAAGCAATGTATCTTCTCCACATCCTTGATACCACTTGTTTTCTGTCTTTTGATAATAACTGTCCTAATGGCTATGAAGTGGCATCTTATTATGGTTTATGTTTTCCTCATGACTAAGTGTGTTGATTATGTTTTCATGTGCTTATTTGTCTTCTTTGGAGATATGTCTATTCAAGTCCTTTATACAAATAGAAATATCAAAATATTGTAGTTTGGTGAATGCTATCCTTAGGCATTTCCTATAAACATTCACAAATGGCCTATTTACCCTTATCTTTTAAGGTATTTAATGTTAATGCACCTCTGCCTCCACGGAAAGAACAGGAAATTAAAGAATCCCCTTATACACCTGGCTACAATCAAAGTTTTACTACAGCAAGTACACAAACGCCACCCCAGTGCCAACTGCCAGCTATACATGTAGAACCAACTGGCATGTCTCAAGAAACTGGTAAGATCTTTGCATATATTTTGAAGATTTGGGTAACAGGTAATTAAATGGAAAGGAAGTCTGTAGTGACACTTAAGACGTTATTTCTTGTCCAGTAAACCTTTCTAAAGTGTTGAGAAGCACTGAGTGTCTTTGTTTCTGTTTAGTTAAGTTCACCTGTTAATTTGAACTTTTATAGAGAGGCAGAACTTTGATGGCTGATTTAACCTTGTAGGGTTGTGTTTTTTAAAATCTAATTGCTTTGAGCACTCCACTGAGGTAGATAGGGTACTATCTGACTGTGTGAAGATCCCCCCCCCCTTGGTACCAGGGATAGCCACTGAACCATATCCCCAGCTCTTTTTTTCATATTTTATTTTGAGAAAGGGCCTTGTTAAATTGCTGAGGCTGGCCTTGAACTTGCAATCCTCCTGCCTCAGCCTCCCAAGCAGCTGGGATTACAGGTGTGTGCCACCATACCCAGTGCATGAAGATTTTGAAACCATTGTGTTAATTTTTTCACCACAGACAAAGGGTTATCTGGCCTTTCCCTCTCTTACATACAACATTGATTAATGTGAAGATATAACTTAGTATGCTTATTATACTGTTAACAGAGAAAGGAGAATATTTTGATCTTTTATGCTACTGTAAATTATGAAATAGGCAACTTTGTACTTATTTCTTAAAGGAGGACTTGTAGATTTTCAGTGTTGGTATTTCAACTCCTTGTTCACTTTTCTGAAACTTAATGTCTGAGCAAGTGAACTGAGCATTTTTTTTCTTCCATATTGGGGATTAAACCATGGCCTCACTCATGCTAGGCAAGTGCTCTACTGCTGAGTTACATCCCCAGCTGTTTTTATTTTATATTTTGAGACAGGGGCTCACTAAGTTGCCCAGACTAGCCTTGAATTTGTGATCCTCCTGCTTCAGCCTCCTGTTTAGCTGGGATTACAGGTAGGTGTGTGCCAACATGCCCAGCTTGTTGGTACTTTTCAATAAAATGGTGTAGAGATAGTAATTATAAATCTCTAACCACAGGGACCTCATTCTGTTCTCACCTATTTTGTTGAAATATAGGGCAGGTGATCTACATAAATAATATTTTGTCATATGCTTTTTCAATTATGAATTCTATGAATTAGGACTAATTTTCTTCTACTCCCTGGCCTGAAATGGTTAGCTTATTATTTTTAAAATCATGGTAAAATATACATAACATGAACCTGACTATTCTAACCATTTTTAAAGTGTACAGCTAAGTGACATTAACTGCGTTTGTGTTGTGTAGCCATCACCATAATCCATCTCTAAAACTTTGTCTTTCCCAACTGAAACTAGAACCATTTAATACAAACTCCCTCTTCTCCTCCCTCTCCAGCTCATGACAACCACTATTTTACTTTTGTGTCTTTATGAATTCAACTACTTTAGCTTCCTGTTATATCATTCAATATTTGTCCTTTGGAAGTGGCTTTTTTCATTTAGTATAATTTTTTCACAGTTCATTGATGTTGTAGCATGTGTCAAATTTCTTTCATTTATAAGAAATAATAAATCATACTCATTTCTCTCATATACACACACAGAAATCACTTTTTTGCAATTTATTTATTTTTAAAATTTATTTTATTTATTTATTCACTTACTTGTTTTTTTAATGTGCTGAGGATAGAATCCAGTGCCTMACGTGTTAGGCAAGCACTCTACCACTGAGCCACACCTCAGCCCCTGCAATTTATTTTTATTTGTTCTAATTAGTTATACATGACAGTAGAATGCATTTTTACACATTATACACAAATGGAGCATAACTTCTCATTCCTCTTGCTGTAGATGGTGCTGAGTCACAGCAGTAGTGTAATCATATATGTATATCGGGTAATAATGTTTGTCTCGTTCTGCTGTCCTTCCCATCCCCAATGCCCCACCCCTCTTCTCACTCCCTTCTGCACAATCTAAAGTTCCTTCATTCTTCCCCACACTCACCCCCACCCACTGTGGATCAGCATCTGCTTATCAGAAAATATTTAGGCTTTGTTTTTTTGCAATTGGCTCAATTCACTTAGTGTGATATTCCCACTTCCATCCATTTACCTGCAAATGCCATAATTTCATTCTTCCTTAAGGCTGAGTAAATTTCATGTGTATAAATGCCACATTTTCTTTATTCATCTGTTGAAGGGCATCTAGATTGGTTCCACAGTTTAGCTATTGTGAATTGAGCTGCTATGAACATTGATGTGGCTATGTCCCTGTAGTATGCTGATTTTTAAGTCCTTTTGGTATAAACCAAGGAATGGGATAGCTGGGTCAAATGGTGGTTACATTCCCAGTTTTCTGAGGAATCTCTGTAACACTTTCCAGAGTGGTTGCACCAATTTGCAGTCCCACCAGCAATGTATGAGTGTTCCTTTTCCCCGACATCCTCACCAACACGTATTATTGTTTATATTCTTGATAATTGCCATTCTGAGTGGAGTGAGATGAAATTTAGAGTAGTTTTGATTTGCATTTTTCTAATTGCTAGAGATGATGAACATTTTTTCATATTTGTTGATTTTGTTTCTTCTTCTCTGAGGTGTCTGTTCAGCTCCTTAGCCCATTTGGATTATTTGTTGTTTGGGAGTTAAGTTTTTTGAGTTCTTTATATATCCTGGAGATTAGTGCTCTATCTAAGGTACATGTGGTAAAGATTTTTTTTTTTCCATTTTGTAGGCTCTCTCTTCACGTTATTGATTGAATCCATCCCATTTATTGATTTTTTTAAATTTTACTTTTTGTGCTTCAGGGGTCTTGTTAAGGAAGTCAGATCCTAAGCTGACATGAAGATTTGGGCCTACTCTTTTTTCTATTAGGTGCAGGATTTCTGTTCTAGTGTCTTTCTTTGATCCATTTTGAGTTAGTTTTTGTGCAGGGTGAGATAGAGTTTTAATTTAATTTTGCTACATAGGGATTTCTAGTTTTCCCAACACCATTTGTTGAATAGACTGTCTTTTCTCTAATGTATGTTTTTTTGGCACCTTTGTATAAGATAACTGGATTTATGGGAGATTGTCTCTGTGTGTTCTGTTTTGTACCATTGGTCTACATTTCTACTTTGGTGCCAATATCATGCCGTTTTTGTTATAGTTTAAGCTCTGGTATTGTGATGCCTCCTGATTCACTCTTCCTGCTAAGATGCTTTGGCTATGCTGTTTTTTTTTTTTTTTTCTTTCCCCCAAATGAATTTCAATTGTTCTGTGAAGAATGTCATTGGGATTTTAATAGGAATTGCATTAAATGTGTATAATGCTTTTGGTAGTATGGCCATTTTTAAAACATTGTTTTGTAGTTGTGTATGGACAGCATACTTTTATTTGTTTATTTTTATCGAACCCAGTGCCTCACACATGCTAGGCAAGCGCTCTGCCACTAAGCTACAGCCCCAGCCCATGGCCATTTTGAAAATATTAATTCTGCCTATCCAAGAGCATGGGAGATCTTTCCATCTTCTAAGGTCTTCTTCAATTTCTTTCTTTAGTGTTCTGTAATTTTCATTGTAGAGGTCTTTTACCTCTTTTGTTAGATTGATTCCCAAGTATTTTTTTTTTTTTTTTTTGAGGCTATTATGAATGGGTAGTTTTCCTAGTTTCTCTTGTAGTGGCTTCATCACTTAAATCATTTTCTTTTTAAAGGGAGAAAATATGTTAAAGGTTTTGATTATTGATTTTTTTACATATAAAGAGTATCGGACCTTTATTACCATTTAACTCTTAACTGTTTCCTTAAGCTTCAAATTATCATCCTGATGGAACTGTTCAAGTAAGCAATGGTAGCCTTGCCTTTTACCCAGCACAGACGAATGTATTTCCCAGACCTGCTCAGCCATTTGTCAACAGCCGGGGATCTGTGAGAGGATGTACTCGTGGTGGGAGATTACTGACCAATTCATATAGGTCCCCTGGTAGTTATAAAGGTATGCTGTGAATCAACTTTAATTGTACTGAATTATTTTGTCTGTATATTTACCTGTCTCAATCCATTTTTACTTTTTCTGTTTTGTCATTGCCATTTGTAATGTAATGGGAGTCTTCTACCTAGTATGCCTGCTCTCTATAACAGAGCTACCTTTTTGAAGAACAGATTAATCCTGCTATTTACTAAATAGAATGGTCAATCTTCTTGTTTTTCTAGGGATAAGTTTGGCTTTTGTATTTGAATAGTTTCTTTTTCTGTTAGTTAACTTTGTCAAAAAATATGTCACAATTAGATAATATCTATTTTCTAATTATTTGTCTAATTCTACACACAGGAACACAGAATTTGAAACTATGATAGTGATATTAAGTTTTAGTTATGATCCCAAGTATTTTAATTACTGCTTAGTATTAGCAAAATATTCAAGACAGAAGCCTCAAGTACCCCTAATTGCCCTACCACCACTTTTTCCTATCCCCACCTGTATTCCAGTGGCAGCAAATTTCTAAACTGGGCTTGTTTAAAGTCAGTGATATTTTATAAATGTATTTTTACTGTGGGAGCAATTTTAATATGTCTTTGCTTAAAGAGGTAATGAAGTAATGATGGCTTTACAGGGTCAGTTTATCTTTTGCAGTGGTATAGTTTAATATGCTTTTTTTCCCTCATTTTTTTGTTGATACATTATAATAGTAACAGATTTGTTACATATTTGTATGTGCACATTAATTTAGTATGCTTTATTAATTGGTTTATTGTTTGTTTATTTGTTAGGTTTTGATACTTACAGAGGACCACCTTCAATTTCCAATGGAAATTATAGCCAGCTGCAGTTCCAAGCTAGAGAATATCCTGGAACTCCTTACTCCCAAAGGGTAAGTAAGAATAGTTGTTATAGTTGAATAGTATTACAGTTGTTGGTGTTAAGCTGGTGATTAAACTATAACAGTAATAATCTGTTTTGTACAAGTGTGTTCTTAGTTCTAGAACTATTTTAAGTCCTATGGAGTGTTGATTTGGAAGCTTTCCCAGTCACTCAAGGAAGATAAATGTCAGCTACTGGATATTTGGAATTTAAAGGTGTTAAGGACTTTAGTAATCATGTTCACATTAGCCCATTTAATCCTTCACCTTGAAAAAGGAGCTGGGGGTTCAGAGGTTAAGTAACTTCTCTACTTATCTAAGGTCATTCAGTAAGTACATTGTAGAACTTAGATTGGAATGTGAGTTTCTTTCTTTTTTTTTTTTAATTTTTTTTTATTGGTTGTTCACAACATTACAAAGCTCTTGACATATCATATTTCATACATTAGATTGAACTGGGTTATGAACTCCCAATTTTACCCCAAATGCAGATTGCAGAATCACGTCGGTTACACATCCACAATTTTACATAATGCCCTATTAGTAATTGTTGTATTCTGCTACCTTTCCTATCCCCTACTATCCCCCCTCCTCTTCCCTCCCATCTTCTTTCTCTACCCCATCTACTGTAATTCATTTCTCTCCTTGTTTATTTTCCCATTCCCCTCACAACCTCTTATATGTAATTTGGAAGAGCAGGAAGAAAAGATTAACATTAAACAGACATGAGATGGGAGGGAGAGGGAGAGAAAAGGGAAATTGTATGGAAATGAAGGGAGACCCTCATTGCTATACAAAATTACATATAAGAGGGAATGTGAGTTTCTTAACTCCAAACCTCATGATCTCAACTTTACCATATTGCCTTTAACTTAGCTTGCTTAATTAACAGAGCTCTTTTTTTTTGTTGTTGTTGTCTTTTATTCTGATTGCAATAAATCAAAACATCTTCCATCACTACATCTGATGGAAGACTGGATAGGATGTTAGACATTTTGCTTTAACAAACTTTGGAACTTCCTGTTATTGGTCATATATGGATATAAATTTATTTATGTTTGTAAAAGGGGTGTGGCTATGTTGGGTGTAGCTTAGTGGTAGATTGCTTGCTTAGTATGCATGAGGCCCTGAGTTCAGTTACACACGTACACAGCCCCCCACTGGCTGCCCCAAAAAGTTTACAAGCAGTCATTGGTATCCTAGAAGAGGCAGTCATTGGTATCCTAGATATAAATTTATACCATATTAGTATTTTCCATTTTGGACTTTTATAAGATTTTGAATATGTACTGATGGTCCCCAAATTAAGGTGGTTTAACTTAATGATTTTTTTGACTTTATGATGACTGAAAGTGATATACATTTAGTAGAAAGTCTATTTCAGATTTTGAATTTTGATACTCTCTCATGATCATGGGCAGTGGCCAGAGTTCTAGTCATTTGTGCAGTCATGAGGGTAAACAACCAATTATACTGTGTAGAATATTGTGCTACCTACCAGTGATGTTCAGTAAGTTAGGTATATTAAATGCCTTTTAACTTACAATATATATTTTTTTTTTGCGAGGGGGCGGGGAACATGTGTCTTCATTGTGATTATTTAGGTTTGTTTTTTTTTTTTACAAATTGCATATTCTTAAACATTTTTAAGAATGGTCAGTTTGGGGCTGGGGTTGTAGCTCAGGAGATCATTTGCCTTGCTTGTGTGGGGCACTGGGTTCAATCCTCAGTACCACATAAAAACAAATAAAATAAAGGTATTGTGTCTGTCTACAACTAAATATATAAATATATATTTAAATATATATATTTAAAGGAATATATATATATTTAAGTATATATTTAAATATACTAACCATTATATATATATAAAGGAATGGTTAGTTTTTTTAAAAAGTGTTCAATTTTCTCTTGTATAATTACATGGCTTACAATACTTTCAATGTATGATGTGTTTTTCAAGACATAACCCCATTAAAGAAGAGGTGCATGTGTATATGTACTACACTGAGCTTTGTTGCTAATATATCAAATACCTATTCTTCTGGAGCTTTCAGTTACATGAGGTAGGGTAGATGTCTGTATAGAGGCAGGAATGAAAAGGAGTGAAGGACACACCTTGGAATCTAAATGATGTGTGTTTACTTTCTTACTTTATCAGTTCTCTTGCCTTGTGACCATAGCCTTCTGAGCTCTAGTTCCTTATCTGTTAGATGTGGACTCATCTCTTAGTTATTCATCTAACTCTGAGGGGTTTTGAGGATTTCTCCATGAGATATTTTGAGGATCAGATGAACTAACAATACATATGAGTGCTTAACAACACAGTGCTGAGTGTATATCAAGCATGCAAATATTAGCTGTTATTATATGATCCTCAGTGACTATATTTGGGGAGGGTGTTGATGAATGTAGACTTCATTAATAGAACTACTTGTTCTTAATATCAGTGTTCCAGTGTTTTTGTGTGTTGCTCTAAATTTCTTTGAGAAAACATAAGAAATTGATATTGGTGCTATTAGAAAGGAGATTATGAACTTCTGGAGTAGGAGACTTAATTATTCTTATTGAATGTCTTCTGGCCTGTTTTTTCCCCCAGAATTGTACATATTAATTTAGTTAAAAAACTAATTATTGGGCTGGGGATGTGGCTTAAGCGGTAACGTGCTCATGTGGCATGCGCGGGGCGCTGGGTTCGATCCTCAGCACCACATAGAAATAAAAAAAAGATGTTGTGTCCACCGAAAACTAAAAAATAAATACTAAAAAACTCTCTCTCTCTCTCAAAAAAAAAAAAAAACCAAAAAAACCCAAAAAAAACTAATTATTATTTTCATGGGTTATGCGGAGATGCTTTTTCCATACTTGAGAATCAGTTGGAAGTATTGCACCTTGAATATTTTTTCTTTTCTATTTTGGATCATATTTCCAGGCAATAAATACACTTACATGATGTGATTATTTTTAATTTTATCTATCAAAAAACAAACAAACTTAGTCTTCTCAGTTTGATTTATAAATTAGATTGAACAAATTGTTTTCAATTTTTTTTTTTTTTTTTTTTTTTTTTTTTTAGTATGTGGGATTGAACCCAGGGGTGCTTAACCACTGAGCTACATCCTCAGCCTTTTTATTTTTTGAGACTGGATTTGATTAAGTTGCCTAGGGCCTTRCTAGGTTGATGAGGTTGGCTTTGAACTTGCAATACTCCTGCCTCAGCCTCCCAAGCCACTGGAATTAAGGCATGCACCACCTCACCTGGCTTTATGTTCTTGTTCTTGCTTTATGTCTTATATTGAGATGAAGGACAAAGGACCATGCTGTATTTCTGAATTGCCATCATTACCTAGTATTGTACCTTCTACATAGTGTTTTCTGAGTGACTTATTGTTTTTGCATATACATAGCTAATTGGTCAGGTTAATTAACAGATGAAGCAAATATTGCCACTGTTGCCTTTGCTTTGTTTTTTCTGGTGTTTGGGAACATCTTGAGCTTCTTGATGGTTGCTGGGGAAGGTCAGATAAAGAATTAGGAGGACTTTAATCTTATAGACTTAGCAGCCAATAATCCTGTGTAATAACTAATTTTTGTCCTGCATTTTCGGTGCCAAGGTGAATATTCATGTATTCGTTTTAGGATAATTTCCAACAGTGTTATAAGCGAGGAGGGACAACATCTGGTGGTCCTCGGGCAAATTCAAGAGGTAAGGGTCATTAAGTGAATAGTTTATTTACCAAAAGCATAATTTTAGTTCATTCTGCACCCTCTTCCAACTTCTCCCCAAAGTGTATTACTTCCAGCATTGATCTTTTTAAAGTTTTAGTTTTCTTAAGAGTAATACTGAACTAAATCCCAGCCTAAAAACAATCTTTTCTTTTTGAAAAAGTAACCAATATTTACAACATCTTTGCCTTATATCTAAGCTTTTTTTTTTTTTTTTTTTTTTTTTAATGGTACTGGGAATTGAACCCAGAGGCACTTTATCACTGAGCTACATCTCCAGCCCTTTTTTATTTTTTTGAGGCAGAGATTTGCTAAATTGCAGAGAGCCTTGCTAAGTTGCTGAGGCTGACCTCAAACTTGCTATCCTTCTGCCTCAGCTTCCCAAGTTGCTGGGATTATGGGTGTGTGCCACTGCACCTGACCTAAGCATTATTTTTGTATGGCCCCTATCACATTAAAATTATTTGGTGTCACATTAACTTGGAAATAAAAAATAAGCATTCATCTTGTGGTTTAGTACCAAATCAAAATATCTCTGAAGAGCTATTAGCCAGTAGTTCTAAAAGTTGGTTTCTTAATCTAGGTTTTATTTTATTTCTATATTACCTACTTTGAGTAGAAGATGGATCATGAGAAATTAACTGAGTCAGAATTATGGGAAAAAGATACAGAAGTAAAAAATGTTTAAACCTGGAGTTAAGTTTTTGCTAACCTTTTTATCTAACCTTTTTGGGGACCACATTTTCTTAAGAAAAAATTTAAAAAGACAATTAGACAAGATTAGTTAGGTCCCTTTTGGCTTCAGAATAGTATTATAAAGTCTGTTCCAGAAAATCTCAGAAATTGTAAGCTATTTACATTTTATTGCTTTTGTTTTGGAATTTACTATAAAATGTATCTTTATCTGTGTTTCAGTAGCCGACTAATGTTAAATATTGTGTTCAAAGCTAACTGCTTCATTATGAGAAACTCACTGTTGCTAATAAAACAGCAGGGTGGAGTGATTCTTCTCAGGTGAGCAGCCCAGAAAGAGACAACGAAACCTTTAACAGTGGTGACTCTGGACAAGGAGACTCCCGTAGCATGACCCCTGTGGATGTGCCAGTGACAAACCCAGCAGCCACCATACTGCCAGTACACGTCTATCCCCTGCCTCAGCAGATGAGAGTTGCCTTCTCAGCAGCCAGAACCTCTAACCTGGCCCCTGGAACTTTAGACCAACCTATTGTGTTTGATCTTCTTCTGAATAACTTGGGGGAGACTTTTGATCTTCAGCTTGGTAGATTCAATTGCCCAGTGAATGGCACTTATGTTTTCATTTTCCATATGCTAAAGCTGGCAGTTAATGTGCCACTGTATGTCAACCTCATGAAGAATGAAGAGGTGTTGGTATCAGCCTATGCCAATGATGGTGCTCCAGACCATGAAACTGCTAGCAATCACGCAATTCTTCAGCTCTTCCAGGGAGACCAGATATGGTTACGTTTGCACAGGGGAGCAATTTATGGAAGTAGTTGGAAATATTCTACATTTTCAGGCTATCTTCTTTATCAAGATTGAAAGTCAGTTCAGAATTGACAATAAAAGGATGGTGTTCGAATTAGTGGGGTTGGAGAAAATGTAGTCCTTGCCATGGCTACTGATTGGTTTAAGAAAATGTTTTCATTCCTAGAGGAAGGTGGAGGTCCTTACTTTTTTGTTTTCCTCTCTAGGTGAAAAATTTCAAGCTGAATGACAATTAGCACTAATCTGGCACTTTATAAATTGTGATGTAGCCTCGCTAGTCAAGCTGTGAATGTATATTGTTTGCACTTAATCCTTAACTGTATTAACGTTGAGCTTACTAAACTGACTGCCTCAAGTTCAGGCAAGTTACAATGCCTTGTTGTGCCTCAATAAAAAAGTTACTTGCACCTTCAGTTGTTCCTATTTGATTGAACACTTAGATGAGAGGTAAGATACCTAAGTTTTTAGAATTCATCACTGATAATTCTTGAATGGTTATTTATTCATGGGTTCATGCTGTTATTTTAAAATAAGACTTTTATATATAATAGTTCCTTTCAGGGTCACTGATATACATCTCTTTAATTAAAAGATTTAATATGTTTTCAATGGACCAAATCACACATTCTCCTTGAAACTTTCTTTTTTTCTTTTCTTTCTTTCTTTTATTTTTGCAGTAGGGCATGTACTTCCTTTAATTAGGTCTTTTTTTGGAACCTCCTACATGTATAATAATACAGGATACAATAGATAATACACAGGTAATATCCTGGTCCACCATCAGTAAGGCTTTTGCTTTCTCTTGGGTTCTTGATTTAATTTGAATTAGGTAAAATGCTAAATCATCAAAAAAGCATAGTCTTTGGTCAGGCAATACTGTGTTTGAGCCTTGGTGCTGCCACTTCATAACTGATTTGGATTGGATAAGCTATCCAATTGAATAAACTATTTTACCTCTAAGATCTCTCTCTCTCTCTCTCTCTCTCTCTCTCTCTCTTTTTAAAGACTGTCTTTGCACACTTAAAATGAGAATGATGATGATGATTGGTCAGTCTCATGGGGCAGTTGTGAAACTTAGCTAAGAATATGTCTAAAAGACAGTGCCTGGCTCTTGGCATTAAATGAATATGAGGTGCTGTGGGTATTTTTGTTTTTTGTTTTTTCTTAATTATGAAGACTATACAGGGTTCTGTGTATGTGTGTATATGTTGTCTTATGCAGTATAGTAGGTACTACCAGAGTTTACTGTTCATTTGAGGCATGTAACATCTCAAACTTCACCCTTTAAGCTTTATATCTTTCTCATTAATAATTAATATTTTGTTTCTCAATTTTTTTGCATTTAAAAATCATTAAATTAGTTCTATTCACTGAAGCTCTTAGAAGCAGTACTATTTCATTAGCAACAAGCACAACAAGTACTCAGAGCTTGATTTTTTTTTTTCCTCCCACATTTTTTATTGGTGCATTAGTTGTACATTGTGATGGGATTTGTTGTTATGTATTTGTACATGCACMCATTGCAACAATGTAATTTGATCAGTGTCACTCCCCAGGACTTCCCCCCTCCCTCCYTGTTTCCTACCTCTTGGTCCCTTCCTCTACTGATCCTGCTTTGATTTTTAGGAGATCTACTCCCATCTTTCTTTTCCTTTTTCTTCTAGCTTCCAATGTAAGAGAAAACATAAGATCCTTGACCTTCTGAGTTTGACTTATTTCATTTAATATAATGGTCTCTGATTCCATCCATTTTCCTGCAAATGCCGTAATTTCATTTTTCTTTTTGGCTGAATAAAATTCATCAAGACTATTTTGTTGCAATATGGAGAAATAGATGCAAGTCTTCTGCTAAAGCAGAAAGTTGTTTTCTCTTTTCTGAGATGTTGAGTAAACTTGGGAAGCTGGTAAAAGGTTTTATATCTACAAAAGTTATTATTTTTGAGCTGGGTCTGGGTTCAGCAGTTAAACCCTGCAGCTATGCATAACTTTTTTTTTCAGGGGGTGGTTACCGGGGATTGAACTCCGGAGCACTCATCCACTGAGCCACATCCCCAGCTCTGTTTAGAATTTTACTTAGAGACAAGGTCTCACTGAGCTACTTAGCACCTTGCTTTTGGTGTGCCACCATTACCAGCTTTCTTTTTTTTTCTTTTCTTTTTTTTTTTTTTTTGAGATGGGTTCTCACTGTATTGCCCACATTGGCCTTCAATTTGAACTCAATCCCCAATCCTCTCTCCGAGGTTGCTAGAATTACAGGTACATACACATGGCTTCTCTTTGTGGTTTTAAATTTTAGTGTTCTCAGTAGAGAGGATTTGGGGTGAGTCACTATTTAACAGAATTTTTTTCAGTTCATGGTAGATACTTTGTAGGTTAGTATTTCAGTTAAATAAATTAGTTCATGGTTTGGCGTTTATGTCCAGAACACAAAGTATAATGATTGAAAGCAAAATTTGGTGTATAGGAATAGTGAGTCCTCAAGTTCAACAAGGCCTTTATCCATTATGCTTCCTACTACATTGGGATTTTTAGCTTAGTCTTATTTTTCTCCTGTACACAATAAATGCTTATTTAAATAGTGTGAGCATTTCTTGAGTTTTTAAAAATATAAATCCACCAATGGGGATTCATTAAATGGGATATCATAATATTTGTTTTAGGGGAATTGTTTTCTTTTTTTGACACTAAGGATTGAACTTAGGTGTGCTTTACCACTGACCCATATGCCCACCTGTCGAAGTATGCGATGGAATCGGGGTCACTCAGGGTGAATTGGGCTGGCAACAAAAAAAAAACACAAACACAGAAAATGCCTTTTTCAGAGTTTAGGACAGCTCTACAGCCTCAAGAATCGAGCTCCACACTAGAGGGCATGGGGAGCAAAGGAGGCAAGAGAGTGAGCACACCTGAWGTCCCCCTATTTATTGGGGAGAAACCATTCATAGAATATTCCAAATAAGGCAAGGGATCAGGTTTCGGGGGTTGAGTCTAGCTTCATGATGTCTTGTGGTCAGTAGATTGATTGACATCTTGGCAAGTCACACCCATCTCGGTGCCTTGTGGGAACACAGGCAGAGCAAGAGGAAAGGGCACATGTGTGTCACACAGTCCAAAGAGCACACAACAGCAGCCAGTCCTCTCATATGCTCAAATGCACATAGCTCATACACACAGCCCATGGATGGCTCGTGACACCCACCCCCTTTTATTATTTTGAGACAGGGTCTTGCTAAATTGGATAGGCTGACCTTGGACAATCCTGTTCTGCCTTATCCTTCCAAGTAGCTGGGATTAGAGGCATGTGCTACCACAACTGGAGTTATGCGAGTGTCTGAAATTACTATTTTGCCAAATATAAAGACTATGAATTATAAATTAGACTTACGAAAATGAATGGACATGATCTTTCCTCCTGAAGCAGTATCATTTCTTGCAGATCTGTGGATTGAACCCAGAACCTTGTGCATGTTCATAAGCAAGTGTTCTACCACTAAATCTAAATCATCAACCCTGCAGTATAAAATTTTAATGGTTAGTCTTTTAAATATTGGGATAATCTCATTTGCACCTGACTCAGACTGCAAAGATGAATGACATTTAAATATTCATATACATCAGAATCATCACTTTCTTCTACTGAGCAAATCTCAAGTTATTTCTCTGATTTCTGACACACCTCTTTTATTTAGAAGTGTTACTATTCAAAACTAGACCTCTTTGGACCTTTTGTTTCAAAGTTTCTTTATTGGGAGATTTTATATTTCTACCATTTCACAGCATTTTAAATTTCTGCTCACATTTAAAATATCTAAATACATTTGTTATCAGAATGTTTCTTGTACGTATCCTTATTTCATGATTGCATTTTCTCATTACTAAATGGCAAAGGTTTTTTTTTTTTTTTTTTTCAGGTTTTCTTCTCTCTCTGGTCTATTCCTGTACTTTTTACATCCACTTTCTTATCATTATATTTGCCCAGAATCTTGGTAGTTGGCTATTGTTCATACGAAGAACATGGTACCAAAAATGCATTGGAAAATTTGAACACAGAGGTGGGGCTTGTTGACTTTGGACTTTGTGGTATTATGATGTTTCCTTTCCCCACAGAGGAAGAAGAAACACCAATGTGGGGGTATGGAAGAGCTTTCTAAGTAGGACACAAAACCTAAACAGCATAAAGGATGGATCAATTTTTTTTAATATTTCTTTTTTATTTTTAGGTGGACACAATAACTTTATTTTTATGTGGTGTTGAGGATCAAACCCAGTGCCTCATGCATGCTAGACCAGCGCGCTACCACTTGAGCCACATCCCTAGCCCCAAGGATGGATCAATTTGACATACAGAATTTATTCCCTCAAAACTTCTGTTTTYAGGAAAATATCAATGTCAAAAGATAGAAGACTACCTAGAGTGGGAAAAAATGAATTAAAAAGACGAAGTGATTCATGCACACACACATGCATACTAAAGGTGATTAGTAAGCAAAGGTAAAACTTTCAAATATGTATTTGGGCAAGCATGAGGGTGAAATGGAGGCTCAGATACAGCAGATGGGAATGAAATTGGCATGTTTTTGGAAGGTAAGTTGGCAGTAGCTGTCAAGATAAAAAAGCACATGCTTTTGACCTAGAAATCCCACTGCTGGAAATTTATTCCACAAATAGTTTTGGAATTATGCCAAGATACATGCACAAAGATATTTTGTATAGCACTAATTATACTAGCAAAAACTAGAGAAACAACACATATGCCTGCCAGTAGGGAATTAAATGAGTCAAAATGGAAGGCACAGATCAAAGTGCATAATATATCATTTGTGTGATAAAAATGTAAAAGCATATATCTGATGACTTGATTTTTAAATTTTTCCCCTAGTAGGATAGGATAGACAAAGATTTTGATAGTTTTGGCCTTGTGTAAAGGTTTTGGGAGTTGCAAGTAGGTGGAAAGAAGACTGACTTTTCATTCTGCATCTTACCATAAAAATGTATATATCACTTTTAAAACACTTAAAATGGTAGATTGTATGCTATTGCCCAGTCTTGTCTTTCCTTGGGTGGAGTTTGGGTATTATCATCCAGCCTGAGATAACACATGGAGGAGTTTTAACAGAAAAGCTGGAGTACTATCCCCACCCCCTCTCTACTTGGATTTCCCCTCAGGATTTGTCTTGTATATAATCTTATTTGATCCTCACAATGGCGCTGGTGAGATAGATCCTGTGTGGGACATAAGAAAATAGGGAATCTTAGAGATTTTGTAAGGGAGCAGAAGCACAGAGCCAATTGTCTCTCCCAAGTCTGAATAGTGTAGTGTTTTCTATCACCATATCTTCCACTGCTGTCTTGCACATGTTTTGGAGGCACTAAATTTTGCTATGGCACGTTA